ACAAACGACAAAGACAGGACAATACTTGATAAAACAAGTACTTGACAAAATCGAAAGGATCAAAAGAATGAAAGGAAGAGAAGGAACCATAGTCCAATTGAACTGGATCCCAGGACATACGGGCATCTATGGTAACGAACTAGCTGATAGAACAGCCAACGAGGGAAGGACAAAATGTAATCATTACACCAACATTGACTTCACACTTAGTACTTCATACTCAGCAATGCGACGCAGAATGCGCGAACGCTATACAGCTCCACTGAAAATCGAAGCTTCGAAATTGTCAGTCATTAAGTCCAATACCTCAAAAACATCAGCCGGAAAGCTGACAGCTGCAAAAACCGCTAAGATCCTCAATGAACTACCCAGAGCGACACGGTGCCTAGCAACCCAGCTACGTACAGGTCACTTCCCTACGACTAAGTCATACCGATACCGATTCAAGCTAATCGACTCACCGAAATGCAGGACGTGCGGCATAGATGAGAGCTAAAACAAACCATGATGATGATGATGATGATGAAATCTAAATATATTGTTAAGACGATACAAAGTTAAACTGCGTCCATCAATACTTCTTAAAGCATGAGGATTTGAATGGCATGTTGAATTGGTAGGAAGCGTTTCTTGACTAGTGTCGTAAAATGTCTTGATGATTTGCGTGTCCGGGAATTTTCTCGGTTACGCCGAACCACCGGAGTATCTTGGGTACGTAGTCAATTGTGGTTTGAAAAACTCGTAAAGGGCTTGAAGAGCTTGTGCGTTGCTAAAACAAACCACGGATGAAAATTTGCGTCTGATGGATTTTGTCTTTTTATATTGTAGACTTTGAATTAAACAATTACAAGAAGCATTAATGGGGTAGCGGTAACCTCGATCGTTGCCATCGATCGGCCCCCGGTTCGACTCCGGGTTAATGCAGTAACTACCATCGAAAGATGGATTAACATTTTTGCTTCGTATTATGCATATGGCTCTTTTCTTACCTTTTTACGTAAATCTAAATAACTTCAATTTCCTTTGTTACTTGATTGATTGTGATTGTAACATTAGATTTACATAGTACAATACAAAGTATTATCTTTGCTAGAAGGCTGCTGTAAATCTATGTATAAAGGTATCAATTATATTACAAATCCATTTTCAAAGCTCACTCTTGCCTATCTTTTCCGATTGCATTTTCAGCTTCTTCATTTCTGTCCCTCTTGTGGAACATTGCATAGAAAGCGAATCCAGCGAGGAAAGTGACGATAGCTAAACTTGCATACATCCATACTAGGTAAGGATCTTCACTCACACTCACTAATGCTTCATTGATTGCGCTGGCCTAATCGAAGGTCAGCAAGAGCTCTTACGCATACTTTGAAGGGATTTGGGACTTACAAATGCGGTCTGAACGAGAAATATGGACGTGACAAAAGCGCGTAGCTTCACGGGAGCTTTCTTTAATGCAAGTTCATACGCTGTGACCGGGCCGAAGACTTCTGACAAAGCCATTAGTGCATAAGATGGTGCGACAATCTGTAGCTATTGGTCAAATAGTACATTTTAACAAATAATATCACTCACCCAGAGGTTCTGTGGCGCTTTCGTGTTACACGTAGCAGCATACTCACCACATGGACTAATTGTGTACACGTAATGTTGTATAACAGCTGCATACACCATCGATAAAGAGGCTAAAATGAATCCACTGGCTATTCTAAGGACAGGGCCGAAACGGATGCCCTTTTTCCTGAGAAAGGGATAAACGAGGAAGTCTAATATAGGAATTGTAGCTAGAATCATGATTGGATCTATAATTTTGACAACCTCTGGTGGTGTATTACCTGATTGCATTGTTGTAGATAGTGAAACAAGGTTATTTGAGAGTTGATTTTGTGAAATATAGTAAAATATTAAACAGAAGAAGATCTTGCATGCTGACCAGCCTCTTTTTACTTCTAACACAAATGCATCATCCCATGTGATAAATTTGGGTACAAACCCGTGTTCTTTTTCATATACACTGGGCTTTGCTGCATTCCAACTTGATTGAGTGTCTTTCAAATTTCTTATCCACCTTATGGGATTAAAAGAGTAGATATTCTTCGCTACGATTCTCAATAAACGTGAAACTTCCAGTAGAACTGTACCACGTGGAGGGGTATGAACGAGTTTGTTACGAAGTGCAAAAAGAATGAAAGGAACTGCTGCAAATACGACAGTTGGAATAGTAAACGCCAACCAGAACGAGTGGTTCTTTTCGATGGCTGGACTCACTAGCATTGATAAACTGCCGACATTTATGCTCCAATAGAACCAACTCATCAGCCTTTGGATTGTGACATTGGGGTCAACTATAACCTTCTCACCTGTTTTTAAAACTTGTGTATATGGTACTGATGACTTTATTTGTTCACCAAGAAGAACACTTATGTTGGCCTTAATACCACCTGTACCTAGACCAATTAAAATCGTTGCAGTGATCCATCCAGCGAGTGGTGTAGTATTGTTAGTAATTGCCGATGGGATTGACGTGAGAGTGAGGATAAGTAATCCAATGAAATAAATCAATGATGATGCTATAATTGTTATATATCTTCCTTGTGTATCTGCAATTATCCCCCCAAGAACTGGTGTTAAGTATGACCAAAAGGTTGAGAAGGTAGTTAAGCCTGTTGCAACTTGTTGGCCTCTACCCATGACTCCTGGAGAGGTGTCTACATCACCAGCAAGTGGAGTACCAGTTATACTACCATATGGAAGGGGATATTGGATGCTAAATCAGTTAGCAGTAGTTAGGCGAGATAAAGTGTAACATGCTCACTAATTCTGTGCAACTACCTTTGATGAGTAGTACGAGAAACGTTCTGCTAGTTCAACAACCACTATAGCAAGCGCATAAAGTGAGACACTTTCAGAAACTTTACGGAGTGTTGCAAATTCATGATCAGTGGGGAAATTAGTAAGTGGCTCTTCTTGTGATCCTTTTTGAGTTCTTTCGCTTTTATTTTCAGATTTGTTGTCGCTATTGTTGTCTTTTTCTAGTATAGTACCATTGTACTCCACTGGTGACATTTTAAATCCTTGACCTTACACTGTAAAGGAAGCGACCAAGTCAGAACAACTTCTAATAAAGATCATGACATTCTGTGCCTGATTGTTCAATAGTGAATATACTGCAGTGATCACTAAAATTAGTGAACGTATTAAGAGTGAAAGGGTATCCTAGAATTGCCTATATAATACTTCCTAATTGAAAAATCCTAATATTCACTCAAGATTCTCCTAAAAGCAATGATTATTTATCCGATGGAGGAATCACGCAATTCTGATGAATTTTACCAATGGCGAAATTGACATATGTGATAACAAGAACAATAATTAGTTTAAGGCACTATATACAATAGCCAAATTCCTCTTTGAACAACAGACATTTGATATACAAGTATGCACTATAGACTTTTGAAAGCGATATTTCAGATTATAAAGTGGTATAACCCATGTATTTGGACAACAAATATAAAAACTACTTGTCGACTGTTGAATTAAATGACTATCTGTTTTTGGTGAGTGAGCTGGGGTATGCGCGTCTTGAGTACCATTGCTTGTGGTCTTGTCTTATGGTCTATAATAGACATACTTGCACATAATACATTTTCCTTTGGTTAATCTTTCATTCAAAAGCCCTGCTCATGCTTCGTGACATTCGTGTATGATCTCAGTAGCATACTTCTTGTTTTAGCTTCACCAGATAGGCGAATTTATCCTCGGGATTGTCGTCTGAAATCTTGTGGATCCCGAATTATTGTTGGTAGGGCGGTGAGGACCTGGGAGGTGACTCTCAATCTCCTCGATGTCATTGGTCTTTGAAGCAGGAGGGGATGGACGTCAATGATGCTGTTCTGTTGTGTTTATCAGAGTTGTCCAGCAAAAATAAGGTTCATATTGATCTTCCAGTCGTCAGCATGTGCAAGGAAGGTTACCTGAACCCTTGACTTGTGCGATGTAAACGAAGGCTTAATTAATTCTACTTTACGACTATTTGTTACTATTAGTATTTAATTACTTTTTGTCATTACGTCCGGTCAAACTATGGTTAAAAAAGCATTGGTTATAATAGTAACAATGCGATTATGATAAGAAAGGTATATTGTTAATCAGATACAAGGTTTGACTGCGTCTTTTAATACTCCTTATAGTATTATGATTTAAATGGGATGCTGAATAGCTGGAAGTATTACTTGAAAATGTCGTAATATGTTTTGATATTTCGTGTTCACTCGTTTATTAGCCAGTCTATAACCAAGGCGACATCCTTCCAGCATCAATCTCTTTTCTAAAAGCTGCTATGGAGCTGGGGAAACTCTTTTCATTGGAGATTATTCCCCTCTGTTGACATCTACAGGGGGTCATCCACACTCCCATCCGTTGATATAAAATAATCGCCAATAGCCCCAGTGAAATATAAATGGTGCCCCTTACAATCGTCTGTTCAGGATAATTTCTTTGCCATTGATAGGCTAAAAAGAACGTATACAAACAAAATAAGATATAAGCGACCAACCAAATATCTGTTTGGAATAGCTCTAGCTCTACTATCATTGGAAAGTATGAAAAAAAGATGTGTCTTCCATTTTATTTATTTTTTATTTTGACAATTATATTATATTATATAGATATATAGATGTAAATTATTAATTGATTTCATCGATGGCAATTGTACTTAAATCTGATCACCTAGAGCACCGTGACCAATGATGCCGAAACCTGGACCGACAGCCGAAGTCAGCACCTTCCTTGATATCAGCGCGACGGTAAGACTTACGGTCATATCTACCTCATCTGAAGCCTTCGCCTTGTTGTCTGACTTGTGCACATCTTGATGTCTTTCGGCATTACGATGAGTCTTTGGAACAATTTGATATGTGAAGCTGGAAGTATTTCATGGTAGTCTAAAGGTTCTGGGATGAGAGGTGGTAGTACCATTTCCATGAGCATTGAGTCTTAAAGTATCCCGTTAAAATCGATGATTGTATTACTTTGATTACTTCAGGGTTTGATACGCTCATTTCACCGTGCTTGATCTCGAAATCCTTTCCAGTGACGACAGCACCTTCCTTATAAAGGTTTGCAAGAGCCGCTCTACAGTTTCGTTTGCTAATGAACATCTTCCCTTAAGATAACTGAGATTAGCGCTAGAGAGTAATGATAATAATTGATCGAAACATGTTGTTTAGACGATGCCAAGTTTAACTACGTCCTTACTTACTTCGAGAGATTCAAAGAGTGAATTCAAATGTGGTAACACCATGAAAATTTTTAGATGTCAAAACCACACTGGATGACAACTAGGAAAATACACATTACTGCATCAAACAATATCACAAGCATTAATGGGGTAGCGGTAACCTCGATCGTTGCCATCGATCGGCCCCCGGTTCGACTCCGGGTTAATGCAATAACTACATCGAAAGATGAATTAACATTTTTGCGTTTTCCCTTTTTGCTCTATGAGTTTTTTTTTTAAACCTGAATAGATTACCTAAGCATGATATTGCAATGTATCAGTGTATCAGTGTAATCGTAAGTAAGAGAATCTCGAACTATTTAAGACATTTTCCAACTTTAGTGAGAAACGCTTCCAGTTGATTTAACGCTTCTTTCAAATCTTCATACTATAGGAAGTATTGTTAAACGCGATTAAACTTTTGTATCTTTATAACAATGTATCTCGATTTCACTATCATCATGGTAGTTTCAAAACTTTATAAATAAGCTAATTTCTTGTTTATTTTCCTGGATATTTTCTTAATGTTCCATTAAACATTGACATTTTTCATTATATATGCCTATTCGAGATTTTACAACAATGTTACCTTCTTAAAAAAGACATTCCACTGGCTTTTCTTTACTCCTACGCCTCGAATAATACATGGTAGCTTTTGTCAGATGTTTTTATATGGTTTTCAGTTTCAGTTTTATGCAATATAGCTCCAAATCATTCATGATCGTCAATGTCAGCATGATTAGAGACGCATAGTCTACGTTAACTTGTATCGTCTAGCCACTTGTAACCTATTTTACATAGTATGATATGTTTGGTATACTTGTAAGCTGATACAGCGTGATGCCTTTATAGTAGCGTCCATCAAGGTTGATATTTCTATGTTGTAAGGCCATCTGTATGTATGGAAGCATTTGACTAGCTGTACACTGTCTTGCTAGTTTCAAGTCGCTGAAACACTATTATTCCTCTCTCGTGAATGATCTGCACAATTAATTTAACTCTTTCATACTAGATCGTCGGAGTCTTGTGGCCTCTTTTAAAGCAAGATCATGAACCCTGATTAATATTGTAGTGCAAACGATATAAATTACTTCATTGGTAACACTGATAAACTATCATTTTGTGCTGTCTAGACTGTCTGGCGATAGGATGAACAATTGTGGTCAAGTTCGAATTTATGATTTAGTAATTGAATACAGGTTTGAGGTTATAGTGCTTGCTAGCAATTTGCCTCTTGTTCAATGTATTTTTTCTTTACGTAGATATAGGATGCTGCATCATCATGACGACGTTAGGCAGATAGCAGAAGAAATATATTTTTTACCAGCGATAATAAACTACAGCTACATCCTTTCAGGCGATTCCTTCAGTATCAACCACAAAACCAGTCTTCGCCGTTGTTGACCGACGAGTAGCAAGAGAGAAGACATTCATGTAGTAGACGAAAAAACACAAACAACACAATAGACAGATCGGATGATTTTTAGGCTAGGTTTATAAGTTATAAAAGAAAATACATATAATAATGCTTAATAAATACATCTAACTTATTGTTCAATGGGAATTCTTATGAACTAATAACTAATAATCTACTCCTTCCTATTCTTCCATTCATAGCCATCGACTGGGAAGATAGCGGCTGCTACGTTCCTATCCTCCTCGACGAGGATGTTATATGTAGAACATGCATTCTTCTATGACGACGTTTCAGATCATTGCCATATATGTATTCCAGAAACTCACAGTATCGATAACGTCAACCTGTATACCCAGACTATTAAGGTATTTATTGAATGATGGTGGGGGTGGCAACATATGTTTACCAGTACCAAGTAGTAAGATTTCTAAGTAAGATAAATATAAAGAACACATTAGCGCCACAAAACTCACCTGGCCTTGGTGTTAGCGTTTCGAACACTTTGAAAGCATCTTTTGGTATAGCATCACCCCAATTAAATGGTGCAGTAGGTGAAGGAACTTTCCATAAGAATACTTTATTATCTATAATCATTACTGGTCCTTTGCATATCTTTCCATCACTAAACGTTACTCCTGATTTACCAACTGATTGTATTTGTAGTGCATTTGTATCAGATAATACAGAAGTTAATGCACCTGCAGTTTCAAACTTTGGCAAACTAGTCGAAAATGTTCTTAAATTGTTAGATAGGCCGTTCGTTCTCCTGAATAAACTCGGCAAAATCATTGGTTGTAAAGAAAGTGAGTGTAGCAAATGCATATAAACTTAACAAAAGAATTTACATTAGAAGTATATCAGCCATTAAGTTCCATTTAGTTGGCGTTTGTTGCTGCTATGACTGTCGCAGCAGTTTTTGATAACTCGCTATCACTATCTTCAGTCAATAATTTGATATCAGATTCAAGTGAGTTCTTTACTATGAGTATGTTAATTTAAATGATATGATACGGCACTCTTTTTTACTCACACTCTTCCGCGTTCAACTTTTGTTCAGTCTGTTTCAATATCAAGTTTGAGTAAAAGACACAGATGTTGAGCTTCAATTTCTTGTTAACTTCATTCTGATCTTGCAACAATTGCTTAAGCGTAGATGCAAGGTTATCATTCTCTTCAAGTATGTAGTTAGCGCCTGCTGGATCAGAAGCAAGCAAGGTTAGTGCCATGATAGCCTCGTTGGTCACTATATATAATTAAAAGAGCGCATTTCTCCAAATTTATACTCACATATTTGGTATTTGCGAGTGTTGCACAAGAGTTCCACTAAAACTTTGGCTATTGGCTGCTGTATAAAGCGTGATCTAGCTTCTTGTGCAGATATATCTGTAGACATCCAACAAGACTTGATCCCATGCACAAACACGCGCGTTCCTTCGCTCTTGATACCTGCATCGTCGCTCTTGTTTATCAAAGTGATGATTGCTTCAAGAATAGGTGGGTCATGATTGACAATCGCGAGGGTGTTCTCAACTAATATCGTATTACTAAAAAAATCTTTCAATTAATACTTCTACTCACGTTGTTGTGTGCAAAGATGCTTGTAGAAACCAACAGTAGCAAATTGAAGTGGTTGAACATGCGCAAAACTGGTTGACAAGAACTTCTGAGCTGCTTCAATCGCACCACTCTTACCAATTACTTCCTTGTTTAATACAGGAAGTGACAAGTTCTTCAGCAGACTCATACCTGTACTGTTTCAGTTTATAAAAGGAACAAAGCAATAAACTCACTAGCATGGGAGACTTTAACATCGTCACCTTGAAGTAAAGCCACAAGACGTGGTATAATATTAAAGTCTCTAACGATTGTGGTCGTGTTCTCTTCGGACCTTGCCAGATTTCCAATTGCCAGTGCTAATCAGGTCAGAAAGCTACTGCATTACACGAGTGACACTCACTACCGCTGATGTTCAATCTCTGTTGGTCATTATTAAGCCAAATCAACATCCTCTGAACAAATGAGCCTTTTCCATGATCAAAGAGGGTATTCATGAGTTTGTCCTCACCTGTAGAAGCGTTAATAAGTGAGTCAAACACAAAATGAAATATCCTACTGCTAATTCCAACGATACACTTTCCAACAGCAGATTTGCATTCTTCATAGATCTTTGACCACTCGTCGATGGTAGCGTTGTCGGCGGACTCCAGATACGCTCTCGGGAGTTCATTCGTCTCTGCGAATGCTAAAAGAACATCCAATTTACTTTGGTCAGCAAGGCAAAGTCTAACTGTCTCTGAATCAAATGCAAATGTCTCAAGTAACATCGTTGCGCTCTCTAAAGAGGACAAATCTTCTTCATAAACACCTTGAAGCTCGTCATCTTGGTCTAGGCCAGTGTAGGTCCTACCAATAGTCAGTAAAGCATGCTTATTTACAACAACATACTTAGTAATTGTATCATTCTGGAATGCCTCAACCCAAGAGAACAAAGCTTCAGCTTCAGTAACACCAGGTTCAACTTTAGCGTGTTCTTGTAATTTTGTCAGATAAAGTTCAATCTCTCTGGCTATACATACCAGAGGAAAGGAGATTGTTGACGATTCGCCAACCCCATTCATAAATGTAAGAATGTAAAACTGCAGTATCAGATTCACCAGCTGTAATAGTACGTCTATTGAGGAATTTGAATACGGTTGATAAGGCATCAACGCTATTGAGAACTTCTTGTGAAGGAGCTATCGATGTATGAGATAAGACCGGATTGATAGGAGCATCTCACCATAATCTTGACTGAGGTTGAGCAATGTACCAAATGCAGCCCTGAGTACGACTGAATGTGACTTGTTTGAGATTTCTTGTGGTGTGAGTGAGTTCAGTAGTGCCAATACCGAGGAGTGAACACCAGCATCGAGTAACTTCTGTCTATTTGTATCTAACAAAATTGAGATACTTGTTACATTCTACTATTTACGTACCATTATCGAGACAGATATTAGCCGTTACTCGGCAAAGCTGTGTGAGCCTCTCCAGCTTCAGTGGATCACTATTCAATGCTATAGATTGTTGTAATTGAGTATTTAAAACTGTAAAAACGTTCCCTGAGTTGCTCAGCTGATCCCTCTTCTCAGCTGCGTATAGTCAGCAATGTTGAAAGCGTCCGTAACTAAACACACGGGTGCGGAGGCTGTCAGCTAGATTTCTGGATATCTCAACCAGTTTAGCACTATCACTGGTACTGTCCCTAGCGACGTATATGAAATCGTCCATGGGTGTTATCAATTGAGAATTACAATACTAGAAAATGACATCTTCATCTTTTCCTTGATCGAGTATGTCAGCTCCACCTGCTTGATCCTGGGTGTATTCTTCTTCTTCGTTGGTATCCTGACTTTCATCTCTCTTCTTCTTTGATTGTATCTTCTTTAACCTAAAGAACTCCTCCCTATCCATTTCATCTAACTCTGAATTTATATATTTAATAGTATTTTCAAGGCGTGGAAGTACAACGTGTTCAATCGCATTGACACGCCTATTTGTGATTCTAATTACATCGTCAAGGATCATGAAAGCTGTCTGTAATGCGTCATTAGAATGTTAGATAACTTGTAAATAAACGAACCTGTAATGAAGCCAATTCTACCAATGTTTCAATAGCTTTCGCGTATATTTCCTTGCACTTTTGTACCTTCTGACCACCTCTACCTAAACCAGTGAGTGAAAACTCATTAGAATTCTCGCGTTCAATTTCGAAACCTGGTAATGTAACACCTGATACGTTCTCTTGTTTTGATTTAACCTTTAATTGTGGTCTCTTTGCACTTTCCTGTACTTGATAAGAGATATCGCCAGCCACATAATTAACTTCTGCGAGTGAGAATGCCGCCACTTGCATAACCTTCCCTGTCTTCAGTTTCGCCTGTATATAATTTAATATGACTTCTATGATAACGCTATGTGCTGACCTCTTCGATTTTCTTGAGGATGGCTCTGAAACGAATCATGAGTGCATCTCTCTTCTTGGCGAGCAACGAGTGGCCAGTCTGTGCACCTTTCAGCCTGCTTTTGGTGTTTGTAAGCGCCTGTATAGCTCATCAGCTAATCAATAGCGTATATGATGACGTTAAATACCATTCTAGTGGGAAACTGTAGTTATTTTATGAGTTTTATAATAATAATCGTTGTATTAAAACTCACAACGCTCTCTCTTTGATTGTTTTCTGACATTGCTCGATGATTGCTGGGGATCAAGGAGTGTAATGGGTGTTTTCTAAAGGTGAGTTGTTCTCTAGGGTACATATCTAGTAGATCGAATGGGATATTTCATCAAAATATATTATTCAACGTTGTAAGGGAAGCAGTCGGTTAGGTAGGTAGGTAGGTGGGAGGAATAAGTAAAAAGTGTTTTGTTTCTCAACAATAAGAGGGGATTGTTTACTGTGATCTCAAGGTGGCTGTGATGAACATGTCTGACTGTTTACACTCTTTGTGTCGTCATGTCTTCCTTTCTCACTGAGAGTTAAAACACCAAAAGAGAATTTAAAAAGCCATAATAAAAGCCCACAAATTAAGGAATATCAAGCCCTAGTAGTTGTTCATGTTCCTTCAATACATGACAATTTTAATTCGCAGCGTTGTACTCATAAAATTTACTAAAAAAATGTCAGCTAAAAAGAAAAATTGGTTAGTGATACTCACGGCGCTAGTCATGTTAACGTCCTTGGTTTGAGTACGAGCCTCAAGAGCAGCCTTCTTAGCGTCGGCCTTTCTTGTGATGGTAGCCTGGCGACCCTTGTCGAGCTTCAAACTAGTAATGACGACGTTTGATGGGTTGATTGGAGTTGGAGCGGTTTGACCGTTAGCCTTCTCGCGGTGAACTCTGTCAACGTAAATGGCGAACTTGTTTCTTTGGACTTGGACGACCTTGCCTTCCTTACCCTTGTTTGAGCCTCTAACGATGAGTACTTCATCATCTCTACGGATAGGGAGTGAGCGGATTGAGTGCTCCTTACGAAGTTCCTTGTTGAGTGATGCAGCCATCAATTTGCGGCGCTCTGAGGAAGGAGCAGCAAAGTGAGCCTTTCTGTTTACTCTGCGGCTGGCCGAAACGTCCCTTGAGAATTTCATTACTACTGGCTGATGGCTGTACGCTAGAGAGTTTTCAGCTCTTCTATCTCGAGTGAGGCGAATTTTAAAAAATCTAAATTATTGCGCGCAAGATTTGTAAATCTGTCTTCCTTGAAAACAAGCACAATTTATTACGGTTTAATTTAGAAAAATAATTTATTAATCCGTTATGCTTTTGTGCTAGATCATTCCCTGTGAATTTGTCTATCGGTTTTCAAGTTAACCCTTAGCTTCACACGCAGGACACATACCTTTGTAAGTTTTATACATTCATTCTATCTATACCTTTAGCCTGCTTGTGTTACATTACAAGCCTTCATTATTCCTCACTTCTGACGCTACTTCACGTCGCTGTGAGTGCTATAGTAAGGCAATATTAAAAGTAGAAAGGATTGGCAGTAGTTGTATAGTTATCTATTCATCTCTTTCCTTGATTCTTACATTATTTCAATTCTCTTACATGCATTCAATTAGCCATTCTACAATACTTTCTTCGAGTTTGTTACGCGTTTTTATATCCTCTAAACGTATAAATCCATATTTCTTCTCAGAAAACTGTCCTATGAGTTCTTCTGGACAGTTACTAACCGACAACTCCGTAATTCTGCCGTGTTTTGACTTGATTTCAGCTACCTTTTAGTATATTAGCATAGAGAAAACAATAAGAAACTGCTCCTCTCACATATTTCTGTCCTTCTATCGTAGTATCTACGGTGTTCGTGAATTCGGGCGTCTGTCCGTAGTGCCAACTCCATTCCTAGCAAACTTTATAAACTACAGTATATCATTAGAGTTGGTACTCACTTGTAGCTCATCCTTGAGTTTCGTGACTTGTTCACTAACATCCTTCTCAAGAAGGCTTTCATCGATGTTAGACACCTACGACAAGTCAGTGAGCGATTCTTGAGCGTAATTAGTCAACAAACCACAGTATTTTTACCCATCTTATGGTGCTCTTTGAATCTTTTTATAATTGCATCGACAAATGTCTCGTGAGTGATATTAGGTTGCCAATCAACAACATTCTTCACTGGTGATCGAACAGATGGTACACCTTTAGTCACCAGGGATTGCTACAGCGGTTTAGCTTGTTAGTAGCGCTCAAGAGTAACCCACATTTGGGTTCTTAAGTGCCTGCGAGAGTGTTTTAATGTTCGAATTCAAAAGCATCGTTCCATGATGATAAGCCCGTGAACTTGTAAGCTTAAAAGCAGACCCTGATATTTTGTAGCCATCTACAACAATATCATGTCGCTCATTCACTGATGCAGGAACATCGAGTTTGTTTAGTGCACTTGCGACTAATTGGGCATTATCACGTCTATTGAAGACAGATTGTGGCATCATTACGCTATAGTTTGTATTTCCTAGATCCTTTACGCGAACTTTAATAAAATTATAGCTTACTCGGTAGATTGCTTACATGGAAGACAGTACCACCACCACTTCGCCGTCTGATGAAAGGTATATCGAGTGATTTCATAGTCTTTAGATCCATCTCATTCCATGGGTTCTAAAATGTGATTAGGGAGCACCAATTGGAGTTTTTATAACACACTTGATTACGTCCAATGATTACTGAAGGCGTATTCCTATACAAGAATAGTACATGTGATGGTTTACTAGACGTTCTGAATAACCTGAGGTTGACTTAATAAGAAAATCACATAATGGAAGAGATCTTACCAGTCTTCGAATGCGAGATTGAACCATGGATCCTTAGAGTGTGAAACGTACGCCAAAGCTTCTGTGACCTAAGCAGTGTTAATGTTTACACTATAGAGTGCTTCCATCTACCTCTGATTGTGGCTTGACCAATGTCGAGTAGCATCGTGCTGAGCGAGCAACAGCCAGAAACGACATCAACGTAGACATACAAGGATCACATTATATACAAATCACTTCAACGTGCAAATAATCTGCTCAGACGCCAACTCACAACACTCGACTCATCAAGTCAAAACAGCCAAAAGACAGCAAAGACATGGAAAATAGAGTGTTATAAGAGAGCGCTGACGGCACATGCAGTAGTGCAGCGCAAGGCCATCTTCCAATCAACCTGTGCAAGCAGTGAGGTCGAATGGACGCAGATAAAAATTAGATCGAACATTAGTCACATAAATTATGTGATCCAAGTTGTTCGAACTTGGAAGAACAGATACTACACTTGATCTAAGCCAAAAGGCCAGAGAGGATAAGGAATCAAGGAGTGATTTCCCTCAATTTTTATACTCGCGTGTGTGACTAGAAACCGAACTAAAAATTGCGGGGAAGTTATGAATAATGCTAAAATAAAAACTTTAGTTTTTAAAAAATTTAGCATGATTTATTGGTGATATTATTAAGATATTTTTTAGGCCTGCCGTGAACTCGTTTGTAAAAGTTTTAGCTATCAGTCAGTGTGACAAGAAATCACATGCACAGTAATTGAAATCGCCTTTATCAGTCGTGACTCCTATTAGGATATATCAATACACATTCCATCATCTCATAATGATGTCACCATCACTAGAAAGTACCACTTGACATCCGTCAGTCTGTATAAATGGTTCTAGATATAATACACGATAAAATATTGGAAACTCCACAAATCCAAAATCTGTAAGTTAGCAAAAAGATATTCGTCCATTAAATTTCGCATGAAACAAAAATTGTTAATCCATCTTCCGATGGTAGTTATTGCATTAACCCGGAGTCGAACCGGGGGCCGATCGATGGCAACGATCGAGGTTACCGCTACCCCATTAATGCTTGTTGTAATTTGATAACTTAGAAACGTGTGTATCGCCCAAAGCAAGTATTGATTATGCGTAAAATTTTCATTAATAGCTGAGCTTTTTTTTTTTAGATGAGTGTGAATAATTGAGGGGCGGTAAACTATTATTTAAGGACATTTACTAATTATTTCTTCAAGCTAAATTAGCATGTAATTTGTAATTTGTAATCTCAAAATATGACAATGATTGATGGACGCAGTTATACTGTGTATTGTCTAGATGTTATATTTCGATTTCATCAATCGCAATAGTTTGGAACCATCAAGACAGCGTACGACGTTATTTATGTTACTATGAAGTGTAAACACCAATGCTTACCACTACCCACAGGGTAATACAGCTGTTATTTGGTAAGTACTAGTAAATTTATTTTTTGTTATTCCTTTCGCATTTTTTTATATCATATATATATATATGTATGTACTTCATTGTCTCATTCTTTGTTTCCTTCGTTCCTTTTTAATGAAGTTGTTCTAATTGGAAAGCTAGGTTCATATCTGGTAGTTAGTTTACTATAATCCCAGCGTCTATATCTGAATTCTGACACTTTTCTTGCTAGGTATACTGCAAGACAAACATGTTGATTGATCTATCTATCTTCTACTACATTGGTATCCGGTACTTACTATTGGAACCAACAGTTTCATGTATTGTACAACATCATATAAGTCATATGAGATCTTTGTGTAGTTGTTTCCACGAATAAAATATTGTTACAATGTGAATATATGCCTTGCAAACCCAGGAGAAGTAGAAACGATCAATTTTTTTGTTAATTAGATTATTATAATTAATACATAGAACTCTAAGATCTCCAAACAATGTTATATTAGATCTTATTAGCAACCATCATGACAGGGGAGAACAAACCTCAACGAAACCACGATAAGAAGGGATTTTCAGTAGCTAGAAGAGCTGGAAAAGGTGCTTACACTGGAAAAGGTTAGTCAGTTGATCTTCTTCTATATTAATCTGACGATATCAAGCGTCGAAGATCAAAGAACAGCTTATTCAAAAGGCAAAGGTTAAGAAAGAATATGCAAATATACTCAAGAAAGAAGGTAGAAAGGACGAGTCTCTACCAAGTAGACCTAGCAAGCCAAAGATGAAAGTCGAAGAGAAGACTGATAAGACGACTACAAAACCAATTAAAGACGATAAGCGGAAAGCACAAAAGCAAAAGTCAGAGCCAGAGCAAGATCAAGAATCTCAGAAATCACAGCAACAACAACGGAAGAGAAAGAGAGAGCAATACTCAAAGAACCATCAACCGAATATGAAAGTACGGATGGAGGATATGTTAGAGAAAGTGAAAAAGACTGTAAAGTAGTAGAATGTACAATAAATTAATTAGACTATGCACTATTATTATTGTAATTAACTTCCTTGCTTTCATTCTCCTCCTTTTGCTTCTTCCTAGCTTGAGCTTTCTCCCTCTTGGCTTCATACTCGTGCCATTCACCTTGTAGTTCACCGAGATGATCAGGAAGTGCTGGACTTGGTTCCTCCGATGAGAAAAATGGCAGTTCAAGGGCATCCTGCGCTGAGATACGCTTCTCCGGGTTAAATGTTAACAAAGCCTGTGCAAGTTCTAAACCAGCTGGTGTCAACCATTTACTAAAGGTCTCTTTGAACCGTTCCGCAGATGGTTTACCAGAAGGTCTGACAAGTTCGTACCACGGGAGATTTGACAGGCCCGGCCAATCTTCATGTGAAGGTATACCTAACATCTTGAAGATGATTTCTAATTGGTGTACCTCATTATCACCTTGAAACACTGGCTTTGTGGTGTATATCTCGAGCATAATACAACCCGCACTCCACATATCAACTTCAGGACCATAGCTGGTAGCGCCTAGCAGTAGTTCAGGCGGTCTATACCATATCGCTATGACTCTATTCGTGTAGTCTGCTGTGCGATGCTTATGATAAAAGCGTGCTAATCCAAAGTCAGCTAATTTGAGGACACCTTGATTGGATATCAGAATGTTTGAACCTTTCATATCTCTATGTAATATCCCGCGATGATGGAGATACGACAGACCGGCTAACATCTGCTGACAAAGTGACTTCTTGTGATTTGCTTGGAAGAGGTCTGGTCCATGTTGAAGTAAACCAGTCAGATCATTTTCCATATACTCGAAAACCATGTAGACCGACCCTAAGGCGCTGATTAGTGAAGGTATATCTAAGATCCTGATGCATACCTTTTGAGACCAACATTTCATGCAATCTAACAATGTTCTCATGATGAGACTGCTGTAATAACTTGATTTCTCTGAGAGCAGTGACGGGGAATCCATCTTTCTCTTGCTCCATTCTAATTCTCTTGAGGGCAACGTGTAATTTTGATACTCTGTTCTTCGCTTTGTAGACTTTACCATATGTACCTTCACCAACTTGACCAATGCGATCGTAGAATTCCGTAACGGTGTCGGGTGTTTCAAATAACCTTTCATCTTCCTTGATTAAGTCAAATGGTGGTAAATCATGCCAGCCTGGCTTGATAGGGATATCTTCGTCCATCTGCTCTGATGCTAGACTTCTTGGTGGCGTGTTGTGGAGTCTAGGCGAACGTTGTGGGATATCAGACTGTGGGAAAAGAGGTTTGTTTTGTCGCTGATTGCCTTGATTGCGATTAGCTAAATTGTTTTGTTAATATAACGATATTTAGAAAAGGTATACTAACAAGAGAAGAGCGAACCTTGATCAGGCAAAGGTCGTTTGCTAGTAGAAGGTTCAGGAGGCCTACTATCGAGCTCTTCAACTGATCTAGGACTCATACTATGATTATATGATCGATTATAGCTATTATCGTCACGAAAACCTGCTCTGTACTCCCTAAATTTGTGGTCTTGGAGGTTATCCCTCTCCCTGTCTCCACCTGGCCTATCATATCTATCAAAGTCCCTTCCATAACCTCGTCTATCCTGGAAATTCCTGTTGTGACTCTGGTTAAAGCCACCTCTGTTACGGTTAAAGTTGTTATTATTAAAGTTATTGTTATTGCGGTTATTATTGTTGTTATTGTAGGGCCTATTGTTGTATTGGTAATTTTTGTTGCCTCTATTACCATTGTTGAAATGTTGTGGGTTGTTGTAACGTCGTGGACTATCATACCGCTGGTACTGTGGACGGTTATCGTGCCTTCTGTCTGGACTGATGGACCGCCTTGGTCCTCTAGCGGCAACTAAGGATGACCGATCAGAGGAAGTTGAACGATTTCTCTGTCTTTGTTGAGGATGGCTGTTTGTATTGAAATCTCTACCCCTGAAAGTACTATAAAATTTAAGATTTTATTCGCATTTGTAGATATTCTACCTACTTTCGCTGCTGCTGATCTTGAGAGTTATAGCGAGGCTGTCTATAGAGATAGCTGTCAGTATTTACTAGCTTGTATTAAGTAAGACTACACCATACTTTCTCTGGTTATTGAACTGATCGTGTGGTATAAATCGCTTCATACGCAATCTATGATGGAAGTCGCAGATCAAGGGAAACGAAACAATTTATGTGAACGACATAGATTGTAAGATTGGCAGGCGCTATATGATAATAGTCCGAGATATATATATATCAACATACATATGGAAGTATCTGCTAATCAATAAAACGAGACGTCTGAACAAAATAGGTCTGTCTACAAGTAACGATAGATAGGATGGTTAATAATAAATTAACCAGCAATTTCAATTGTATAACATTAATCTGTTGTATCTTCTTTTCTCCTTAATGAGTTGTAATGCTGTAAGAAGATAAACAAACGCGCTCATAATGGCGAATAACACTCACTTCTCCTAATCCATACATTCTAGTATGGAACGTCAACCAAATACCGTCTACAGATTCAGGATTGTTTTCAAATTCACCCTCATTGCCTCCAATGAGTATGACGTTAGGATATGATCGTTGTACGACATGAATTGGTTTATTTATTGCTCTAGAAATAGCAAGTAACTTCATATGATTAGCACGGAAGCAAAAATAAAACAGTAAATCTTACTTCAATATGACCACCCCATTCACCTGTCTTTTCGATAATTTCACAATACTGTTCATACTGTTTTGTATCCATTGGTAATCCTTCAGCTTCGTTACCGTTAGCATCTGCACCATCCGCAGGGGACAAATTTGCAGTTGACAAGAAAGGCATGAAGTCGTCGACATGCTGTCTAAGATAATTAGCCGCTATCTTCCTCATATCACTATAGTTAGACTGTATTTGCGTAAAAAGGGGTTGAATCATGACAAAAATTAGACGTACCTGCTTCTCATGGGAGTATCCAAGCAGATTGTCGCAATTAATTTGATCAGCAATGGCTGCATATAAACAATGGCCATCTGGTGATATCTCAAACATCTTTCTCTTATGTTTCGCGCATATGTCTATGATAATCTTCTCCTCTTCCGTTGCTTCCTTAGCAAGTTTCTCATTTTCAGGTAAATTAGCCTCCTTAAATGCAGCCTGTCTGATAGATTCCTCCTCTTGTAATCTCTTTTCCTAAATATGAGCTTAATAAAGATATTACAGGATATCTACACCAAATCTCACCTCTCTTTTAGCTTTCCGTGTCTTTTTTTGTTCAATTTCAGTTTCTGATCTATTGGAATGGGATTTTGAAGCTGGCTGTGATTCCTGTGGTTGTGATTCCTGCTCAGCGTCATCTTTTGCATCCAACTGTGCGAAAAGATCATCCTCTAAGGAATCATCAACGGCTTCCTCTACATTCTCAGATGGCGGTGACGCATTGAAAACTTCCTTTACTTTCTGTTTAATCGATTCTCTCTTACGAACCATCAGTGAGATATGTTAAGAAGCAGCTTAAGAAATCTTAACAAATTCAAAAATATCAATATAACAACTGAACAAAAGGATATTATAGATAAACTTATTAGAGTTGATCACGCTGGTGAACTTGGCGCCAATTGTATCTACGCTGGACAAATGTACGCTACAAAGAAAGCAGGTCCAGGTCGATCGGATGAAATTGAATTAGTACAACATATGTGGGATCAAGAGAAGCATCATCTGAGTACTTTCAATAAACTCATTGACGACTTTAGAGTCCGGCCGACGGTTTTATCACCCGTTTGGATAGCAGCAGGTTGGTTTATGGGTGCATCTACAACAGCACTGGGTAAACAATCCGCTATGGCATGCACAGAAGCTGTTGAAACTGTAATCGGTGAACATTATGATGAGTGAGTTTCTTTATCTAATGATATCAACACTCACACGCGTACCAGTCAAATAACACAATTAAAAAAGTTTGAACATCTCCACCCAGATTTAGTAAAATTGAGAGAAACATGTGAACAATTTAGAGACGATGAATTAGAGCACCTTGATACAGCTGTCGATCACGGCGCTCAACAAGCACCAGCACACGCTTTACTAAGCGCAGTGATAGGTTCTGCATGTAAATTTGGTGTATGGGCTGCCGAAAAAGTTTAATTTGTAAGATTATTATTGATTTCAGTTGTACAAACGTTCTATGATATATCCAAAAGTAAAAATAACGAATGACTAATTAATAATATTAATGATGTTGGTCTTGATATTGTAAATTAATGATGTACTTGTATTGCGATTGAGTAAGTGAATGTGAACGATTAAATGATTAAATCTTATTGTTTGTCTACGATATTATGCATCCTTCATCTCTAGCTTGCTGTCGAGTTGGTCTACCACCATTCTTACGTTGATTTCCAAGCCTCTTTAACTCTATTAACCTCTGTGAAGCTCTTTGATTACCTTTTTGTGCTGCCCTTGTATACCACTTTTTGGCTAATTCTAAATCTTGCTTCACACCAATACCAACTTCACTATAATAACCAACTGCGTATTCAGCATTAGCTTGGCCTTGATTTGCTGCTCTTCTTGCCCAAAGGAAAGCCTCGGAATCTGATTGTTTTAAAACACCTTCAGATCCAGTCAAATACCATCCAGATAACGCTAATTCAGCCTCTGCGTGACCTTTCTCTGCTGCCCTTGTATACCAGGCGATTGATCTTCTTGGATCAACTGGACAAGTTAAGTTACCATATTCATAGGCTGTACCTAGTTTAAATTGTGAAGGCGCATAACCATAATGTGCAGCTTGACTAAACAATTCATAGGCTACTTTGTCATCTTGTGTGAGAGCGCCTGCAACAGGATGCTCATATAATAATGCTAATTCATGCAATGCATGTGGATTATCTTCATCAGCTTGTTGAGCAGCTCTATTAAACCAGATGATAGCGTCTTTTGCATTTCTATTGACACCTAAAAGTCCATTCAATAATATCACACCAATTTTGTACATTGCAGCCGTTTCACCCAAAGTTGCAGCCTTTCTGTATAATTCACAACTTCTTGCAATATCTTTCTTTGTACCAACTCCTAATTCATTACAAACTGCTGCTCTATAAGTTGATGGACCATGATTTCTTTTAGCTGCAGTTAAATAAAGATCATAAGCCTTTTGTTGATCAGTTTGTAAACCTAATGCACCACTACCCAAGCAATTAGCGAGAAAGAATTGAGCTTCACAATAACCAGGTTTAGCTTGCATTGCTAACTTTTTAATAACTTTAATTGATTCAGTTAAAAGTGCATCTCTATACTTATGAGCTGATTTTGGATTAGTTGGTGATTCATCTGTAAAAATCTTTTTAGCTGCTGTAATTAAATACCTAGCATATGCGAATTGAGCTTCTGGATCTGGATCTCCCTTTACTCTAGTCCTATAATCATCGACGAAAGCTCTATTATAAGGCATTTCATTCTTAACTTGAGCTTTAGGTGGTTGTCTAGTTGGCAAAGTTGGAGTTCTCAAACTATGTAAAGAAGTTTTTGACCTATTCTGGGCAGCTTGGAGTGGTGGTGGTGGTGGTGGTGGCATGTTATATCCAGGTGGTATAGAGTACATTTGAGGATGGCTGGTATAGACATTATCAGGCGTTGAATAAAATGGTGGATATCCCCCGTATCCCATCATTTGTGGATGACCGGGGTAAAAGTTTGGCATCACCGTTGGATTAGGAAATTGATTTGGGGCTAGAGATGCAGTATCAAAACTCCTTATTGATCTGCCATCGTCTGCTAGCTCTTGCTCGGGTGGACGTGCAACGTACATTGGATTGAATGACGGTGGGAACGGTCCTGCAGATAAACGTGGATCTGAGCTCTGTGAGTACATGGAAGCTGCGTCTTGATTTGCGTAAGTGTTTAGTCCGGGTGACTGTGTGCGTTGTAGATTATCATTAACACTTAAATGGCTCATATTCAGATCGTTCGGGTCGTATTCGTATGCTAAAAGTGGCTATGAGGGATGAGGCTGGAGAGTATAATAAAACATACTGTTCTGATAGTTCTGCTCATTATAATACGGTGGTGGTACGTAGTCTATCTCTTGATTCAGCTCTGTGGCCATGATGGTCTTAATTCAGGAGCATATAGAGTGTACAACATTAATTTAGATAAAGGATACTACAAAATTAAATTGGACTATCAAAACCTTGTTCTAGCTTTCTTTTCTTTAGACTGGTATCTTTTATTTTGTTTATTTCTTTCAAAGCTTCAACAGGTCCACAGTTATTGCGGAGGCTATAATTCATAACGTCTTGCATTTGTACGACTGACTCAACGATTTCCAAGCATTTCATTACGCTCACAGGTAGCCCATACTCGTTCACGACGCATTCTGGTAACTTTGGTATATCTTCACCATTTCTGTACTGTATTGCCGACCTATCAATTGATTCGACACAGCTTTCAACATCAAATTCTAATGTTTCAAATTTGAGCGCCTGTTGTCCACCTGTGTTTTGCGGTGGTAAAGATGCTGTCAGGGCAGCCCTTAAATGTCCGACCATTCTTATAGCAGTGCCATTTGAGAATGTATATAAAATCATAGCTCTAGGTGCTTGCACGAGATGTGTAGCTATCGTTGTCATTGAAGATGGTAGCATTTCTCCGTTTGGTCCCCTCAAACCTTGCGCTGTTGGGCCTGATGTGTGATAAACGCTCTCATGAGCGCCAGGTGTGGACATAGTTATACCCGCAACTTCACTTTGCGACCATGCCGCGTGATATCTAGGTAATGTTGTAAATGGTAAATCGAAATGTCGTATTTGCCTCATATCTTGTTGATTAGGATCAAAATTACCGCCATCGAGCTTCCTGAAATTTAACCTAAGCATAGCTGAAGGCATAAAGAATTCTTGTACAAAGCTATGCCATTGTGTAGCGCTCAGTTGTTCTCCAAGTGATTTTTGCTGATTGTTCCCTCCGTGGGAAACATTAATGTGTCGCCTGAAATGTTCTATGTATTGTAATAATCGTAATGTGCCTGCGTGTGCACGAGGTGCAGCTGCAGCTGCTGCTGCAGCAGCCGCTGTATGACTAGGTACTCTTCTATTTACAAATCAGTATCAGTGTCACTTTTAGGACAAACAAAACCTACGCTAAATGTGCCATACTTTCTGGGTTTGACATACCAGGCATGTTTCCCATTGGTGGTCGTATTCGCTGTTGCTGGGCTTGAGAATGTTGCTGCTGAGCTACCTGAGCCATTTGTGCAGATTGAAGCTGAGCCGCGTAAGGGTGCATATGAGGATGCGGCTGCGAAGAGGGGCGTGGATGTGGTGTGCTAACCCCCTGTGGGGGTGTAGGCATTGGCTGAGGTGTAGAAATCGGTTGAGGGGTTGGAATAGCGCGTGGGGGATGTGCCGGAGACGCGTGTTGACTACCATTTAATTGTAAATTTAACGCCTCTGACGCGTTAATGTTATTCATGCTCATATTATTCACCGTGCCCATGCCATTCATCGGGTCATTGAATTGCCCTAAACCATCACTCGTAGACGGTCTAGCTGGGTAGTGACCCATAATGGGCGACGGACGCTGCATGTTGTTAAACTGCATTTGCTGCTGCTGTTGTTGTTGCTGTTGTGCGACTGCCGCTGCTGCCTGCTGCTGTTGAAGTGCCATCTGCTGCTTCTGAAGCTGCTGCATTTGCTGCTGCTGTAAGAAATGCTGCTGGAGTTGATAGTGTGCCAATCTTTGCTGCTGTATTTGTTGTTCTCTCCCTGGGTCTAAAACTGAATTCAGCTACAAACAAAGCTCCACGAGCAAGACCCACCGAACTGCAGTTGCGGATTCCATTCAAATCCCGCCCCAGCATCAAAGTTGTTCATTCCCATCGTCGGCGTTCCCGTAGGCTGTCCCATTGCGGCGCTTCTCCTCTGCTGAAGCAATGCAGCAGCCATTCTGGGCGAGCGTCTCGCTTGGGCTTGCTGTAGTTGCTGCAGGTCTTGCGGCCGGTCGCCCAACTGTTGGTAATTCAATGCCATGGGTGCTTCCCTCACTGACGTATGATGGTAAAACGACAAGGAATAAATAAATATAGATAGAGATAATTATGTATTATAGTATTATTCACTTTTATTATCATTTATTTTATATTTAAAAGTTATTCCGACAGTTCTATACTCTTTTAATTCACTCAAATTTATAGTCTTTTATATGCTTCATTTATGCGTTATATACAACATATGCTACGAACTAAGTTTTCCAATTCCCATACCAACACGTACTAGTGTCTCTAGCGCAGCTCTACTGTTCTCTTTAATGTCATTATCCCAAGAAACCGTGTTTGGCGGGAAGAGACAGACTATCGTCGAGCCACCAAATGCAAAGTAACCGAACTCTTCACCCCTTTGAACGCTATCACCCTCTTTTTTCGTAAGTATCGTCGACCCCACCATCATTGCTCCGATACAAACTGCAATTACTGTCCCGTAGCTTTCGGTGTGGATAGGGACAATAACACGAACCTATCGGTTAATTAAATCTCAGATAGTTTAGATATCGGCCAACTTACGTTTTCTGAGAAGATTGAAATTGGTGATCTCACAGCTTGTGGATTGACAGTGTAGTATTCGCCCTCAATTGTCGTTATTGGTCCAACAATACCATCAACAGGCGAATGAAAACGGTGATAATCTTGGGGAGCAAGTCTAAATACCGAAAGACTTGGTAATTGCTCTTTATCAAGTAAAGGTGCACACCAACTCTCTTTGGAAACCTTTTCCCCGAGCAATCTAGATACAGTAAAACCTCTTCCTTTGATCCAAATCTTCGTTGCAGATTCAAAGTTATCAAAAACGACCATTCTACAATCAGCAGCACTAACTAATCTACCTGGATTGTCGGCTTCTTCAACTGGTCTAGCGTCAGGTTTTAATTTCCTATAGAAGAATTGATTGAATGTATTAAAGGCACTAATTGGCTCGAGAACTTCGTCCATGTTCAAATTATGGAATTGGATAAAGTTGGGTATCTCTCTAACAGATTCAGGGTCATCATACTTGCTACCTTGCTTAATTGACATTGATTTGAGCAGTCTTCTAGCTCTGCTACCTTCCATTTTTGATCTTGCTCCTTTGTAAAGCATTCTTATTCCAATTCTGACGTACATTTGCATTTTCTCCTCTTGCAACCTACCAGATAATCTATCTTGTACAAGAATATTAGCTGAATTCGCTCCTAGCTTGTAAGAGCCTGTTGAAATTTTAGATGCAATCTTGCTAATCCATTTTCTTTGTGCCTGTGAGGCAGTAACATAATTTGATACAGCGACTCTGTTCAGTCTACCCCAATCTGTGGATGCACAGATGGCCAAGTGAGTAACAATATCAACTTCAGCTTTGCTGTTAAGTCTACCTTTATGACAAAGTGGGCAGACTTTAATATTTATCACTTTTTCTCTGTGACTTTCATCTATCCTGATCTTCATCTTGGTAAAGTCGCTAACGGTGCCTTTCTCAAGCTCGGTGGAGTCATCATAGTCACTCACATCATAGCCGAAGACGCTAGATGAAGAAGACAAGAAACCAGCAGCTGGTGGAGACAGTCTTGAATTGTCCAAGAAATCAGTCGAGACTTTCAATTTGGAACTCTCATCATTACTTGTGTTGCTTATATTAGCTATATCAATTTCATTTCCAGTACCTCCATTTTTAGGTTTCGATGCTTTTGAATGTTCTTCAATTATACCAGGTTGCGCATTTGGTGGACGAGCCAGTGGTCCAGTGTAATCTAATGGTTCGATGTTATTGTTATATGCCGTAAGTGCGGAAGGTGTTGATGGTCCAGGCGATACTGACGCGTCAGTCTCATCTGCATCAGCGTCATCATCAAGTGAGCGCCTTTCATTTATTGGCTTATTGGTCTCATTTTCAAGTACTTGTATGATTTGATCATATGTCAATTCATCAGTTCTAGGATTTTTGTCCCATCTTGTGAAGAATGAATCAATGGTAACGGAAGTAAGTGTTGAACCGAGTGAATCAAGCATCATTGTGAGTTCTACTCGTGATATCGAACCCGTATCATCGGCATCATATTGGTCGAGATAGGATCTCCAAAATCTTTGTCGAAGTGCAGCATAAGGTAGGTATTTAGCTCTTATCAAAATGTTTGGACTATGTTTCTCTTCCCAATTCTCATGGATTTTGAGATCTAGTTTGTAGTCATCCATCGTATGTGTGTCGTACTCATCCAAATTAAACAATCCAGTTTCTGGATCTGATTTTGGAGCTTTCGAGACTAGTTCTTGAAGTGGGAGTGAGACATCACCAACGTGATCATTAGCGCTGAGCTTATCCCAATCAAGAACAGCTAAGGTTTTGGTAAGCAAAAAGAAGTGATCATTAAGAGAAAACTTACAGAAATCAACTGTGTATTTACTCTCCCCTTGGCGAACATGGAAATACAACTTCTCATCCCAGGTTGGATTTAATGAATGCCTGATAACTCTCGTCCTGAAGATCTTCTTTCCAAAACTGATAACAACGAAGGGATCCATATCCCATCCAGTTCTAGTCATGTTCTTCATACGTGGAAGATCAGTGCCATGACGAACTTCAAGCAAAACGACACCAAGTACGTTGCTATTGTCCTCACTGTTGAGGTTAAACCCACCGGTTTTCGCTGTACGTGACGATTTTCTAATTCTCCTTTTACGTGGCTTTAAAGATCTATTCGAATGTGATGAAAGGTTTGGTTCAGATATATCACCTTGTGGTGTAGTTGCTAAAGGTATACTGTCTCTGCTATTTTGTCTTGAAGCGAGTGGTGTGATAATGCGTTTGAGTTTTGATGGTCGTTTGTGATGATGAACTTCATGACCTGGTCTTGCTGGTATATCCATTGGTGATAAATTAGAAGAAATTTTATGCATAGGTTGTGATTCACTCCTCCTCATACTTCCTTTTATGAATGTCTCACTATCATTATTCCCAACTGTGGGTGTGGGAACATTTGACTCATCTTCATTGTCAACTTCGTCACCCTCTATGTCTGAGATAGTGATATCGACATCTGAATCGTTGAAGGTATCGGATTCATCACCAATATCATTATTACCAGCTGTTGTACCCCTGCTTAATGTGGACGCCAAACTATCCTGAGTATTTGATGCAACGATCGTACGAGTTGAATCTCTTGTACTTTGTTGTGATAGCGAGTGAGAACTAATGAGGCTCGTACCGATTGATTCAATCTAAGTTGGTTGTTAGTGTATTCGCAGCAGCTATAGAGACACTCACTGGTGGTGCTGCCATAATGCCAGTAGCAACTTTACGGGCATTTGAAAGCACATCCTCAAATACGCTCTCAAGATTAACGGGGCTAGAGGCTGGATGTTGAATCAAGCCTAATCGCACATTAAGTACACCTGTCGCGTTGTTGTTCTTCCTTGCTGACTTAACCTGTAGTGTGCGGACCTATGTCACAAAGTTAGGGAAGAACACAGCACAAAGCAAAACGCACATTATTAAGGTGATCTGACCATTGGACAGCTCTGAACGGCTCACCCTCCTTGAGTTTCGGAAACCAGTCATCGAGATAGAGAGAACACTCGCCGAGATAATCCTTCCCGATGGTGTCTTTGTCCCAAGCGACGAACTCAAGCTGTGCTATATTTGCCACTGTTGATCTAAACAAGCTGATATCGAAAGTGGCGTCGTTTGCGTCCCACACGGGGTTAAGTGTCTTCTTGACGCAGGGAGTAGATAGGCGGAGCAGGCCGTAATTTATATCAACAAAAGGATCACTCAGGCCATTTCTATCCTTACTAGCGAGATCTTTAGCGTTGATGACCTGTACGCGGAGAGATGCGAACGGGATCTCATCTGGGAGTGGTTTGAAACTCTCTGGCTTGACAGAGTTCTGACGAGACACCAAAGAACGTATCACCCGTATAGGATTTTTCTTCTTAGCTTTCGGTGTATCGTTCAGTAGATTTACAGCTGAATTGGGCGGTGTCGACATCGGTGATCAACGTCAGAGATCAAAATCTAGAAATCTATATTTATATATAGTCATATTATAAAAAATAGTTTACAATTATACCTCCTCTATCATCATATCCTCGTCTACCATCTCGCTTTCCTTCGCTGAGAGCTCTTGTATCTTTGTTCTGCGCTGTGTCAGTGAAGATGACGCAAGGCACAACAACTTACTCTTCTCCTTCCTGTCTCATGATCAAGTTGACGAGCTGTCGCATGTTAATAGGGCTAACAAAAATCATCGTGTCCGCACCTTGATCATTTCATCGATAACCTGCATAAATTGATCAGTCAGGAACCAAATAGTTTAATAAGAAACGAACCTGTTGATCCTTTTCCTCAGCGTGTGCAGCTTTGATAACGACGTAAGTGTTCCTACTTCTGAGGTACTCTCTACCATGGAGTGTTGTGCAGAGCAAGAGAAGTGTCTCAATGTGAGTTTTGCGAACACTTGGGTCGATTTCACGCTTTTTCGTTTCTGGAAGTAGTTGGCAGACTTCTGGTAGTGCCTCTTGTTCCTTTGCATCGTTAGTGGCATCAGAGAAGATGAAAATATCTCACATCAATGTCAAACTCTTCAGGTCCACACAATGGCAAGAGTACATATGGCAACATATTCACACCAGAGCATCCCCCTATAATCTCCTTGTCTTCTGCTAGAAGTGCCCTGTGAGCATCCTTCACAAACGTGGAGTTCCTTACTTGGCGTCAGTATAAGGCGAACAAAAATAGACTATGCCTACTTGATTGTAGAAGCAACGCCATGTCTTCTAATGTTATTTGGGTGTTCAGTGAATGCAGTGAGCTTAGCCAATGGATACTCCTTATCTGAAGTTTGGTTTGCCAATGCTTCAAATGATGGTGAAGGTGACGTAAAGTACTCTCTGCCAGGTTGAGTGGTTGTGATATTAGCAAATACAGATCCCAAGAAGTGACAGTTGGATTTACGCTTAGCTTGGGCTTCCGCACTCTCTACAGCTGTCTCTGGCTTGTTCGCACCCTGAACAAAAGCTTCAACAAGGCAAGGGACCGCCCTAAAAGAAGTTTGCTGGCCTTCAATCTGCACAGTTGAAGACTCAGATTTTGATGCTATAAATGAAGGTTCTCCGTTGTTCAAACTGACTGGGATTTGTTGAGAACAGATAGTGTGGATTACATTAGGGAGCTTGCTGAGGTTAGATAGAAGCATACAAGCTAAATCAGCAAGCAATGCAGTTGGGTTGGCTATATAACTCGTCAAGAAAACCATAAAGTCGTTCGTTACGATAGCATTCGATGTCAGAACAGAGTCAGAAATGTTGACTAAGATAGAGAAAGCATCATGCGCAATAGCCTGTATGTTGTTAGGTGATATCATATATATAAACATTCCTACCGGTTTGTCCCTACAGGAAAGTTTGACTTCCTGGATTGATTGGTTATCGAAGAGTTGCTTTTGGGTGGTAGAGAAACCAGCCAAATTCTGTATTGCAATTTGTCTTATAGTTGGGTTCTCATTCCTTAAGAACGTGACTAGTTCTTTGAATTCAGACATCTTTAAAGCTTCACCGTGGTAGTGAAGAATGCAGGTTAGACCAGATCAACAACTATCAAAAAATGTTACTTAAAACGCTCTTATTAGCCGCTATTTCAGGCGTGTCCCTCGCTGCCGTCAACGATGGCAGTTTGGCTATCGTAAAGGTGAGTCTCAGGTGGTATAAAAACCAGCGGAACTAAGTGCTCTACAGGCTGATTTTGAAGCTGCTGGTTTAATTGGCGATGAATTCCAATCAGAAGACTTTGACAACCTCGAGGGTCTTTTCTATGTCAAATTCAACGGTCAAGACGAGCCAATCACACAAGGACAACGCTTGGAACAAGATGGTAAGTAGTTTACGCGTTATTTACGTGTCCTTTACTAAGGTTTTCCCCAGCCGTTCAAGAGAAGCCTGAGTTCAGATACGTCCCTAAGGAGGGTATCGATACTGCGGGTCTCTACACTATCGCACTTATCGATGCTGATTACAACGGCGCTGATCAATCTGAAGGTACGTAGTTCTATTTTAGCCTTAGTGTATCCAAAAATAACTCCTCAATAGGTCAAACACGTCACTTCCTCGAGAACGACATCACTACCGGCGGTGGGGACCCTAACTCTGACCGCGGTATTGCGCTCAAGGATGAAGAATCCGGTATAATTATCACCAGCTATGCAGGTCCTGGCCCAGCTGAAGGATCTGGTCCTCACAGATACCAATTCCTCTTGCTCAAGCAACCAGAGGACTTCCAAGCACCAGAAGGTTTGGATAGCGAGAACACACCACTCGGCAAGATGAACATTGCTGACTACATCGACTCAACTAACAGCCAAATCGCTGCTGCGACATACTTCATTGTCGAAGTCGGAGAAAGCACCGTCGATGCTAAGCCAACCTCAACTGTAAACTCATCTTCTGTATCAGCTACACCAAGCTCTACCGCTGGTGCAAGCGATGGTTCAGATGGTTCAGACAGCGGTGACGGTTCAAGCAGCGATGATACTGCAGACGATGACTCAAGCACCACGAAAGCAACTGTCTCTATGGCCGTATTAGCATTAATTGGCACTGCCTTTGTATTTATTTAATTTTAATTAATTTTTAATACGTTCGTTATCAATGTTGCAATACCAGTTTCGAATCTCATCAGATACGATGACGATAAAAGATAGGGATGAAATGAAACGTTCACATTCTGCCTCTAGGAAGGCCTGTGATGATGATTATAGTGAATATACGCAGTCTAGCTACACTCAGGATAAAGGGAAAGGTAGATTGAGATCAGAAGATGATTCCAAAGTTGTCGGCGAACAGGAAAACAGAAATCTTTGTATTAGACACAAGAATATGGCAGATGAGGGTACCTCAGCTGAATTACAAGAGGTTTGTGCTTTTAGCTTTCCCCTCCGTCGCTTACATCCGGATAGGCACTCGACCAATTGCCACTAAACCAGCGATCAGCTGTTACCTCGATTTGGTCCTCATTCTCGGCTGCAAGCGGTCCACTTAGGGTCCTCATATTGAAGGGTATCCTCCAGACTTGCTGCTTCTCGCAACTCAGCTACCTCTATGAAGAACTAGGGAATCTGATAAGAATAGACCCGTTTGTTCTATTGCCACGTGAAATAAATCTAAAAATAATGGGCTATTTGGATGCAATTTCGCTAGCAAGAGCCGCACAAGTCAGTCGTAGCTGGAAGAATCTCGCAGATGACGATCTATTATGGCGAAACATGTGTGAGCAACACATAGAGCGCAAATGTGAGAAATGTGGTTGGGGTTTACCTCTCCTTGAGAAGAGACGCAAGCAGCAGAAAGAACCAAACACAAAAGTAGGCAGCGCAAAAAGAGCTCTTTTGGCCAGTCACACCGCACATCTAGCTATGCATGATAATCCAAGCGCCAATTCGAATAATTCCCAACCAATGGAGATTGACGAGGATAGGCCGATCAAGAGACAAAGATCTGCAAGGACCTCACCAGTCAATTCCCCTCAACCGTCACGACCAGTTTCACCAACTAATTCACTACGTCAGAAAGCCTCTACCATGTCTGTCAGCTCTTCTAAACCTCTCACCAGGCCCTGGAAAGCTGTCTACACCGAAAGGTTGCTTATTGAACGTAATTGGAGAAGGGGTACCCATACAGTACAAACATTATCTGGACATACAGAAGGTGTCATGTGTTTGCAATTCGACGAGAACGCACATCCTGTACCTACACTCATAACTGGTTCGTACGATCGAACTGCCAGAGTATGGAATCTAGACACTGGGGAGGAATTAGGTGTTTTAAGAGGTCATACTAGGGGTATACGTACGCTTAAGTTTGACGAAGCGAAACTCATCACTGGTAGTATGGATAGAACACTTAAGATATGGAATTGGAGAACAGGTGAATGTATTCGCACGCTTGAAGGACACAGGGAGGGTGTTGTTTGTCTCGACTTTGACAAAACGGTATTAGCTTCAGGATCAGCAGATGCGACAGTTAAAGTTTGGAAATTCAAGACAGCGGAGTGCTTTACTTTGCGAGGACATAGAGATTGGGTTAACTCAGTTCAAATATGGGATGGACAAACTTCCACAAGCTCATGCACAGGACCATCAACACCTGAAATTGAACAATTGAGAGAATCTCAGAAGATTCTTTTCAGTGCTTCAGATGATGGATGCATTAAAATGTGGAGTCTCGGTACGAAAGAGTGTTTGCGTAATTTTGACAGTCATGTTGGACAAGTGCAAGACATAAAGATGATACTCGTCGATTCAAAAACACTCCAAGTCGCGCAAAACCAAGAGGAAGATGGATCTAAACCAAAATTCCAACGAGTTTTAGATACCAATGAAAGTGGCTCATTACAATTATTCAGAAATGCCAGTAATATGAACGATGATGCATCAATACAATCACCGTCAGTGAACAAAGTTGACAAAATATTGAGTGAATCTACATCAGAAACTGTACCTATGTTGGTATCTGGTGCTCTTGACAATACTGTTAAATTGTGGGATGTCAATAATGGTACCTGTGCACGTACGCTCTTTGGACATATTGAAGGTAAGTTGTAGCATAAGATATGCGCGATAGACTAAGAATTACGTAGGAATTTGGTCGATTGATGCAGATAGACTACGAATAGTTTCAACATCCCACGATCGAGCCGTTAAAGTATGGGATACAGATACAGGAAAATGTTTAGCAACTTTAGTTGGTCACGCAGGTGCTGTAACAGCAGTGCAACTCTCAGGTGATAAGATAGTAACAGCTGGCGACGACCGCGATATCCGTATATATTCATTTGCAGCACCAGAATAAAAGTTCAAGTAATTTATAATAAATGAAATTGTAAGAGAAGTACAAACTAAATTTTCATTGGTATAATAATAAATATAACAAATTTACACGTAATAATGATAACATGTTGACTAAAACACATAGCTAAAAGTATAAGAGTTGAATTAAAGTTTCGTAAAGTCGTAACGTAATTTTAATAAATAAACCAATTGGTAATTGTAACTGAAAGAGTGAAATGAGCATGAGTATAAAAGAAGTGTGATCTTCTTTAGATTGAAGCACGTGGTCTTTTGTTAGAAACACTAACGTATTTCTTTTCGACGCTTGAGTGAAATTGTGCCAGATAGTCAAGACAAAAGTCAAATTCTCTCGATTCTGAAAGTGACTCTTTCCTCTCCCTGTCCGTATCACCTTGGATTTCAAGCCAAGTCTTTGTAGACATGACGCTGGAATTACACAAATCAGCGCCATATTCAAAGTTCTTGATGTGTGAAAGTGGATGTGGACAATCAATCTTATCCCATGGACCGACATTCAAACGTAGTGCAGTTAAGTGAAGTTCAACCCAAGCTTTTCTACGTCTCTTTTCACGTTCATAAGCTCTATTAGCACGAATTTGTTGATTAAGTTCGCATTCGTAGGGACCACCCCAGTGCATTTTGAAGCAATGGTCACAACGTGGTGTCTTACCATTGTTTTGAGCAGTGTTTCCATTCTTTTGGTTTTGCATACTAAGGTTGTTAGTAAACTCTACAGGATTTGTTTGCTTGTAGAGTTTTCTAGCTTCTTTGAGTAATTCTAAAGCTTGTTGACGAGCTTCTGAACGTGCGCCAGAGATAGACAACGACCAGCGCGCCTTAACTTTTCTCAATCTCTCGCTAAGAGAATCTGGGTATCTTTCCTCTTGAAGTATTTCATAGTTTAATCTTTCTGCACTGTTGTATTCAACTTCTACGAAATACTCGCCAAGACGTCTCCATACTGTCTTGTCCTCTGACATCTTCCTTCTCTCGACTTGTGCATCATATTTTATCATCTTAGCAGTAGCATTTGTGGTGTCAACCAAAACAGATTGGTCAGCCTTCGTGGAAGGGCTCAAGCTGCATGATGAACTTAAATTAGGTTTAGAAAACTTTTCTGAGAGAAGTTTTATCGGACTAAATGCAGAGTTTGATGAGGATATCGATGATGGGCGATTAGGTAAAGAGCCAAATGATGACTAGGGAAACTGTTAACAAGTGTGTATTTTGAAATTATAAATACTAACCTTGCGCTTTTGCTGTGTTGTTACAGGTGTTGGTGTCGTTGTCGCAGTTGTGGCGGATGTTGACAAAGCTGGTATTGATGGTACTGAGAAAGTTCTGAGTAAATTGTAGAACATGTTTGGCTCAGACTTCGTAAATTGCTGGTCCATCTCATCGTTATTAAGTTTGCGACACCATACACTTGGTGGTTTACTATTTTTCCGCTGCGGCTGTTCGGTTGTTTGAGTAACACATGGGAGGGAAGAGCTAAGTGTAAGCTCTGCAGGTGCTTTCTTGCTTGTTTTCTGTGGTGCAGAGTATGAAATTGTTGATCTGCTTGTTGATGGCACTGGTTTTGATATGATGAAAGACAGATGTGGCTCATCTGCTATCTCGTCTGATTGATTTTCTTCAATTTCCTCATATTCATCTGTTTTATCTGATTTGTCAGATATGCTGGTCATAGAGGTCGACAAGATTGTTTGTGTACGCTTGACAGGACTGTTTGATTGCTGCGAGTACTGATCATCGTCTGAGTCTTCAAATACAGCAGGTAGTGAATTGCCTTTTATTCCTGCCTTACTCAAGTGTAAAGCTATCAGCGAAATCTCAGGTTTGGGTCTTATATCGTAACTGCAGCTCATTGTTGTGATCTTAAAAGCCTTATTGTGAAATATCAAAAGTTTGTTGTAACGGCAATTGTGATTTTAGAAGTAAATCTAAAAGGATGTTTATTCTGATTTTTGGAATGGGTGCGATTTCAATTGTTGGCCACGGGCAAAATAGATTACGTCCTTCAGTTGACAATCTCGTCGGCAGACTGACAGAAGGAATGTTGCTACTCGTGGTAGTCTAAGAAGGACGCTGTTAATACTTCAAACGGCTCTTTCCGCGCTATTGAGACAAACACACGACCGCTTTCGTCATAAAAGTCTCGGTTCCAAATTCAACCACGGCATTTCAATTTATTCACACAAATGGAAAGTTTAGGAAGCATTTCGTTTCACTTTGTCTCTTCCCACAGACGGCCTTCCTTGCCGCTATCCAACCCTTGCACGACCCCCTGAAACGTAAGGGACGCTGCTTATTCGCTGATCGTATCCAACGAGTAATGCATTACATATAGTTGTACATTTTTTGCTTATTTATTCTTCGAATTTGTGTAATGCCCTTGCCATTCCGGCAAACTTATGAGCTATTTGAATGAATTTACATGCCAAACGTCCGGCCAAAGTTAGGCTGACTATGAACTTTATTTTTGCTGCACATGTCGGCGTCATTAAAAAATATAATTAAAAATAATTTCTTTGTGTTGTCTTAGGTTATCTGTCTCAGGAGACAAATTGATAAACATATCGTGTCTAATTTTATATCTGAGAGACATAGTTATAGAATGTTGAATGAACATCCATTCAGTACCTCAATAGTGGAGGTGCTATGCTGATCCCTCGGGATTCTCTCCTCCACTCTGTTAAAGACATAAGGCGAAGAAGCAGACAAGCGCATTGGAAAAACTTTCTATAATAGACTACAAATACATTAGAAAATGCCTGAACATTAGAGTAACTGAACAATTTGTTAGCTTAATAAAGTGCTAGGAAGACACCCACTTTTGGTGCAACTGAGGCTATCTTACCCCATCCTTTCTGTCTAACCTCGTGAGCAATAACGCCTGATATTCTAGATCCGAGAAGTTCCTTCTTTGGGTTTATGAGTACGCCGGCGTTATCGTCGAACCTAACGAAGCGACCGTCCGGTCTTCTAATTTGCTGCTTTGTGCGCACAATGACGGCTCTTCTGATATCACCCTTCCTTATCTTGTTTGCTGCTGCTGGTGAATTTGCAGAGATGTTGAGATTGGCTGGGATTGGCTTAGCTGATTTGATGACGACGACGCATTCATCGCCTAGTTGAGTGTAAGTGGGGGTTAGAGGACGTAGTTTTACACACCAACTGTACCGATACCAGAGCCAGATTTGACTTTGAGGACGTTGATGACTTCTGCAACGAGAGCGCCTGAGTTGTCTATAATCTATATGGCGTGTGAGCTATATAGAATAAACAAAAAGATACTAACATTCATAGTAGATTTTAATCCCAGCATCTTGGACGTAATCTCAGAAGAATCGAATTGAGGTGCTCAATCCTTCTCCTTCAAGACGATTTCTTACAGGGAGTGCATAATCTTTTATATTACGAAATACCCATCCAAATAAAATAATAATTTATATCTAGGAATGTCACGCATACCACAGCGTTCAGTCCCATCCACGCTCTCGCCTTACGGTCATCACAGAGAAGTAAGCTACGCTGAGAGCTTACCTGCTAGACCGGTATCTCCATATACAAATATGTCGCAATCTGCAGTATCAGCTGGACATGAATCTCCATTGTCCGACAACCGTAGAAAACGCAACCATCAGAAAGATGAGGTGAGTTTGCTTTTGATTGGACGCTCTGTCGTTGTCGTCGTCGTCGTTATGTTATGTAGCCTATTAGCTGTCATCAGCCTACCCCTATCATTACCCTTCTAAGTTTTATCCTGGCGCGTCTTAATTTCAACTCTCTCTTAATTAAGCGAGATGTCAGAAGTGAGTTGATAATTAGTAGTTCGTTATTCTAACTATTTGCTAACAACTCATTGTCTAGAATAACTCGCCGCAAAATGTGGACTTTCCAACTCAAGACACTCCACAGAATGCTCCAGAGAGTAAACGCTCAAAGAAATTCTTTGGTGCGCTTGGGAGATCAAGGAAATCATCTGGTAGCCACAAGCGTACGCTTTCCAGCAGTACAAAATCCTCACAACCTCTGACGACGACTAACGACAATGACAAGTCACGCCAATCGACCCATTCTATTAGCAATACTGACCAGGACTCTTCTATTCTTCCTCAATCTTCAACTTCCCCTTCTATTACTACCGCTCCAACTACCGCTCCTTCACATACACGTTCGAGAACTGTTTCATCCACTTACCCACCTTCTAAAATCCACGCTGAACCTACACGCACTTCTTCTAACTCTCATGGAATCGGTGGAAAATTTCAGGCTTTAAGAAAGAAAATCGAAACTGAGCTCGGAAAAAAGCGTCCAGGAAGCTCAAACCCACGCAGAGACCACCACGGTCGTGATAGAAAGCGTAACAATAAGCAACCTGGCACCGTCGCTAGTTTGAGACCATCACCGGCTTTGACAGTTCCAGACAGTATGACAGTCGCAGATGCTTCACAGCTCTGTGCAGCTAAGCGTACTGACTGTGTTCTTGTCGTTGATGATGAGGAATCATTGTGCGGTATCTTCACCGCAAAGGATTTAGCTTTTAGGGTGTGTTTCACTTTTTATGAAAAATAACATGCTCATTGTCACACACAGGTTGTCGCTGAAAGCATCGATACCCGCCATACCCCTGTATCAGAGATTATGACTCCAAACCCAATGGTCACTCGCGATTCTGCAAGCGCAACCGAAGCACTCGAGCTCATGGTTGCGCGCGCATTCCGTCACTTACCAGTATGTAATGATGATGGTGACGTTGTTGGCCTTTTGGATATCACTCGTGTCTTTAACGAGGCGCTTGACAAAATTGAACGTGGATACGGTGCATCACAGAAACTTTACAACGCGTTAGAGGGTGTTCAAAATGAGTTGGGTGGTAACACCAACAGCCGTCAAGCTGCAGCTATGATGAACTACGTTGATGCCCTTCGTGAAAGAATGGCATTGCCAGATTTGCAATCTGTTCTTGACGCACGCACTCACCCTGCCACTGTATCAGTTCGTACCACTGTTAGAGAAGCCGCTCGCATTATGAAGCAGTACCGTACAACGGCTGTTTGTGTTATGGATAACCCAATCAGTGCAGGTACAGGTGGTCATTTGAACTCACAGAATCAACCAAGAATCGCTGGTATTTTCACCTCAAAGGATGTTGTATTGAGAGTTATCGCCGCAGGTTTACAACCAGACAGATGCAGCGTCGTTAGAGTAATGACACCCCATCCAGATAGAGCTCCACCTTCTATGACAATCCAAGAAGCTTTAAGAAAGATGTACACAGGTCACTACTTGAATATGCCTGTTGTTGAAGATGACGGCAAACTTATTGCTATCGTCGATGTTTTGAAGCTCACTTATGCTATTCTGGAGCAAATTAACTCTATGTCTCAAGAACAACAAAATGAAACTGGTGAAGAAGCTTCTGGACCAATGTGGGGCAAATTCTTCGGTACATTGGCAGCAGCACCTGACGATAATGATTCCGTTGTTTCTGGATCGAGAGACGTAGCATCACCACAAGGTGGAAGAAATGACAGCGAGTTACATCCAAATGACTCAGCATCAGTTGTTGATCACAGTGTTGATCATGATGCTTCTCAAATCGGTATTGATCATGCTTCATCTGGAGTTTTAGAATCAGAAGCTGCGAATGGCGTCGTTGATGAGCACATCGCTGTTTTCAAATTTGTTAGTCCTTCTCAAAGAATCCACAGATTTGAGTCACCTACTTTGTCATTGGAACACTTGCGTGATATCGTCGCTGGAAAGGTAAGTGATAATAACATTTATAATGAATCGCTAACATCACTCAAAGCTCTCCACTGATCCATTCTTTACTCAACACACTGAAAAGGCACCTGTAGAAGATGAGAACCCGGCACCTGCACCAGATCCATATGACTTCTCATTGCTCTATGAGGATGATGACGGTGACCACGTCGTTATGAGCGCAGACTCTGACGTCAAGGATGCTGTCTTTGTTGCTCAAAAGAAACGTCAAACACGTGTCCTCCTTATAGTTAATGGCGGTAAAGGTTGGGAGACTGTCGACGTTGTCAAACCAGCCGACGATAAGCCAGCAGTCGTAATTAAAGAGGAAAATATCCATCAATCAGAAGCCGTTGAAGAAGTTGAAACTCTCGAAAAGAAGATTGAGAAAGAGACCAACCAACAGTTGCCTCATGAAGCTCACACTAGTCTTCCATCAAACAAGTCAACTGGTCCAGCTGACGGTGAGGTATTTGGTATTCCAAGAGATTTGGTTTTACCTGCAGCTATTGCATTTGCTGGTTCAGCTGTTCTCATTGCTTTCATTGGCTCTAAATTCGCCTCAAAGTGATTAACAAATTTTAATGATAATTTCCATTCCTAAGACTTATTTTAAATAATACGGTAGAAATACAAAATAAATGTTTATACAAGAGATATGCGATAGCTTTTAAAAGTTTGTCTAATGCTTGAACGTGCAATTCGTGCCATTCTTACAATAACCTGATTTGAAGAATTTACAATCATACTTTGGTTTCTGTTGGTAATTGTAATTATTAGTATTACCACTGCTGTTATTTCGTGAATAGCTATTGTCCCTGTCTCGACTTCTGTCCCTATCATTTTCACGATCATTATGCTGGTAAAACGCGTTAGGCATTGAAGGTAAATCATAAGCAGCGAAATTAGAGTTAGCATTAGCTGATAATAGCTGATTAATTAAGTCCTGTTGTTGAGGTTGTATAGCTGCTGGTCCAGGCATTGCACCGAATGATTGTCCGAATTGTGAGCCTGGCATAGGATTGAACATCGCTTGGTTTGCCGTGCTGTTGACATCCGAGCGTATCATTCGTATCGTTTTGCTATCATCGTTTAGGCTCTCGAAAGGTTTCTTCGACTCTGAAGGTGTGGATGGTATATCAGATTCGTTTATGTAAGTAGCCATCATTGTTGTCGTCTCACGATGTTCCTGAACTCCTTTTTCTATTGATTCAGCGCCTTTGTCTACATTGAGGTCAATGGAGTGGTTGCAAACATATGGTTCGAACCAAGGGCGTAGATTTTGAGTACGCATCCCGGTTCTTTTCACACCCTTATGCGTTCCTTCCCATTCTTGCGGCTTGTCTTCGTCTTCAGTCGTTACATGCTTGCGTAGCATAGCACCTTCATCCATTTCCAGTTTCCTTGCGTCACCGTATGGTTGATGATACTTTGAGAACTTCATTAGTTGGTGTAACGAGTTGTGCTTTATACTTACATCACCCTGCTCTGCTCGACTTTCTATGTACCTAACGCTAACTAATTCTCTTTCAGGCACCCATCTAACTTGTTTCTTCTTTTTTGATGGTTCAACTTGGCGCTTCTCTTGCTCACGCTGTGAAGTTGGTGGTTGTGGTTTTGATGTTTGAGGAGCAGGTGTCGGTTTCTTCTTCTGTTGCTCTTGACTCATCATTGCGAGGGAATCAGCGAATGGGTTCTGTTTATTAGGCGCTGATACCGGAGCTTTAGGAGCTGGCTTAACAGTATCAGCTGGTGGTATCTTTACATCTACATTGGTAGGTGTTGGCGCTTGGTTCATCGGAATTTCTTGCACTTTCGGTGCTTTCTTGAAGGAAGGCAGCTTCGATAATGATGGTTTAGCAGTTGCTGAGAAAAGTGAGGAATTAGGCTTGTTTTCTATTTTCGCTTTTTTGGATACTAATGGTTTTGATTGGTTAGTAAAATTTTCTTCATTTATATTTGACTAACCTTCATTATTTATTTCACTGCTGCTCCGCTTTCCCGTCATTTTCGCTGGTTGCATTGATGGTTCAATCTGGTGTGTCCACTTATTTTGTAGCTTCTTGGCTGCATTTGAGACATCTGTGGGTGGTGTCAATGACACATATCTCACAAAAAAGTTAAATAGCATACTAGGATCATTTGATGCACAGAGACGTTTCACTAGTTCTAGAAAGTTATATTTTATTAGTATCTCATTATCAAATATTACTTTGATCATGAACTATTTTGAACTGTTAACGAAAAATTTCAAAAGAAAATTATTCTAATTACTCACCAATAATAAAGGTAAATGTGTTGATCTCCATTCTTTCAATTCAGAAATTCTAGTAGAACAAGCGTCTTTAAACCATGCAGACAGTAATTCTATAGCCCTCTTATCATTAGACCAGACGTTTATGTATTTATTCTCGGTCTGTTCATCAACTTTTGCTTTCTTTGTAGCTTCTAAAGCTAAAACTCTAATTTCACCATCTGCTTCAAATTCTGCGTTATTTATGCAACTTATTATTGTTTTTGAAATTTGTACTGGATCATTAGGTAATTGGGTTATAGAATTTTGAATTTTAGCTTTAATTGCGTAAGATTCTTCATCTTCTTTACTCATTTCATTATGATTCACTATTCTATTTAAGGCGTTAGTAGAGTTGAAATAAGTCAATAAAACTCTACCCTTTATTTGCATTCCCTGCATTATGTACCTGCTCTTGTGTGACTGTAGTTTACCGTTAGTACTGACTGTATAATTCTATCGCGTGCGCTGATTGGCTGAGGCTTATCCATCGATAGTTGATATACACAAAGAAAATATTCATACATCAAACAAAGAGAGTTAAGCCTCGACAATTGCGACACTAAATTTGACTGACCATTCGATTCATTTCTGATCAAAAGCAGGATCTTTTCGACATCATTCGGCCAGCCCCTCTCACTGAGTCTGCGCTCAACAAATTTAGAGACTGATTCTGATTGGTTTGGAGGATGGAACATTGCCTCCTTCTATTTAGTTTGTGAGTTTCTCTTGTGTGGACCATACGATAGACTCACTTTAGCCCAATTCAAAAACTCTGGGTTAGTTTCTAATATCTTATCAAACTGTGACTTCTCGTCGCTCATAGTTAGAGCAATCGTTCGGCTTCTACGTTAGTTTGGTGGTGGACGTCGGAATAGAGGAGGGGAAAAGCTGTTTCCAACTATGAGAATTTGGATTGAGTATGTGATTTATTAGAATCATTTTAATTTACCTACAATCAATAATTATTATTTTTATTTATTCTTTCGAATATACCCAAACTACGACTACACTGTAGATGTCATCGTCCCACAAAATGTATGAAATGTATAGAAAGAGAGTAAGATGATTATTTGTGGAATTATTAATATCACATGTAATAATTTAAAAATGCACCTTGGAAGAAAGTGAAGGTGAAGCTAGTGACGCATTCAGATTTCTAGACAACCTTAGTAGTCAGTAAGAGGTGCACAAGTACGATGAATACTTTAATATATGAGGCCCTGGTGTCTTAGGTGCAGTGAGGGTGTGTAAAGTAAATGTCGTGTTTGAATAGGTGCGCAAAGGTAAAGCTGAGGGCAAAACCAAGACGCTGAACTTTAGACCTGCACTTAGTAAAATAGATTGCTGGGAGATACTTACTACTGTGGTCATTATGATTTGGTAACATGTTTCATTCTTGTCACCTATGCAAAGAATGGAGGTTCCGGTTTCACGGTCATAGAATTAGTGAATTGCAAAATACGGTATTATTCTGCATGCGGGAAGCTCGGTGTACAACATTTTACCACCTAGTGAACCCTACTGGAAACTACTGGCGTTAATTTGCAGTCATATGCAACTGGCCGATATATCCTTTAAAGCATTAATGGCAACAATATCATAATTAGCAAATAAACGAATGTAGATCAACATAACTAATATAAATCTAGTAGAAAGTATATCAACCTTGATAGATATGAGTACAATAAGGATCAGGCATCAAAGAAACCTATATAAAAGTATAAATCTTATACGGGAGCATTTTATATTAGATTATCAAGATGTAAAACATAACTCATTCAAAATAAATGAAAAAATAAAACACTTCACATAACCATCAAGTTATGTTAAAGAAAACATTCTGCTTACTTCTAATCCTAGGCTTTTCCCTAGGACTCAGACTGGTAGCACCTCCCAGGACTAAGGCAGACACCACCTACAATGAAACTATGAGGAGTGGAGCTCTCCTTTGTTTATGGGTGGTGTTGCTTTTATCCTTTACAATTGTAGAGATGCGAGATGGAGCAATATTAACTCAGGGAGATTGTGCTAGGTCAATCTTCTTTACATTCTTTTCAGCTGCCATCTATACTGTTGGTACTGCAGGAATGAAATCTGGTAGATTTTGAAGATCCGATGAGTTTATGGTAAAAGAGCCAGTTGGTATGTTAAATGAGGTTTGGTTCCTCAATCATGACACTATTCAAAATAATGGACAAAATGTTCGTCAATACATATAGAAAACTGTTAGAAACGAATGCCGATAAGACCTGTGTATCTTTTGAAGAAAATTTGCAAGCTTCCCAACTATTATGTAGCACTTTGCAAGCTACAAATACTGTCACCGGAGATAGGTTTACAGCTGATAAGAGATCTGCCTGGACTGTTGAACACAATTTATGAGTGGTCTTACTATTATACTCTCAGAGATGAATTGTGAAAGGTCTCACAACTTCATCACGACAACAGCACTTTGTACAAAATATCCTTTCTCAATCTATCAAACGATATTGGAATAAAAGCAAATCTGTAGCTAGGAAAATAAGTAAGAAATCTATATGAAGTCAACATGGAATAGAATAGATTTAGATAAAATAAAACAAAAATGTATAGAATAATAAGTGGATCTTATCTTAACATGTAAAAAATATGTCGAGTTTTGTGCTATCCTGCTATGTTTTTATGTACTTGAATATAGACAGGTTTGCTGATATAAATAGCTATAATAGTTTTCATATTGGTTATTTTTTACATTTATACAAGTACTATTTCTTATTTTTATATATTATTGAAAATCTTACTTCAATGGCACAACAGACGAGATTGCTAGTAATTTTGAAGCATTCTCAGGATTTTCTCACCTGGTTCATTTTGAAGGGCGCCCCTAGAAATTTTCCCTTCGATTTTTGAAGTGCGCAGACGCCGCCTTCAAATTGAACTTTCATCTTCAAATTCAATAGGAAAGTCAAATTTTACAATGGCCATTGCAGAAACCTCACATAAATCACCGTCAAAATCAACTAAAGGTTCCAAGAAGGAAGCTAAGGATTCAGTCAAGCGTACTGCTGATGGATCTCCTAAAGCTGAATCATCTCCAAAGAGAGAATTCACCGATCTCGAGCATGAACTTTTCGCCAACCTTGCCGTATCTGCTAGAGCAATGGATGCACAATTAAAGATTATTAAGCAACTCTTTGCTGATAACAACAAGGAGCTTAACTTTAATAAACGCGCTACCAAGCCCCAAAAAGATCCAGAGGCACCAAAGAGACCTGCTTCTGCATACCTTCTCTTCCAAAATGATCTTCGTACTAGAAAGGATCCAGCTCAATCACAAACTGAGTTCATGGCTCACGTTGGTTCAGAATGGCAATCATTAGGCAAAGAAGAAAAAGAGAAGTACCAAAAGTCATACCAAAAGGCTTGTGAAGTCTTTGAAAAAGAGAGAGAAAAGTATGTCAAGTCTGGTAAAGAAGCTGCATGGCAAAAGCAGATGCAAGAATTAGGCGTACCAGCTGATGCACCAAAGAAGAAGGAAGCTGCCAAGAAGAAGGCTGAACCAAAGGAAAATAAGGACGACAAGAAGGAAAAGAAGGATGATAAGAAAGAAGAAACAAAGCCTGCCAAAGCTAAGGCTGAAAAGAAGGAAGAGAAATCCTCAACTTCCAAGTCAGCATCAAAGAGCAAAAAGGAGGAAAAGAAGCCAGAACCTACACCTGCTGCCGAAGAATCCGACGAATCCGTCTCTGAATCTTCTGACTCTGAGTCCGACTCTGACTCTGGTTCATCCGACTCTGATTCATCTGAGTCTGAGTCTGAGCCAGAACCATTGCCAGAGCCACCAAAGAAGCAAGCTAAGAAGGTGCGTGAGGCGCTAGAATGAGTGTATTTTGCTAATTATCATATTGCAGGAGGAGAAGTCATCTAAGAAGTCAAAGAAATAGACATCGGCTAATAATATACAGTAATCTTTAAACATATATTTTTGTACAACCCTCTTTACGTTAATGCACTAGTATTTTTTTGTGTCTCTTATTGTATCGTCTTGTTAAGTTACCGTGATGCGTAATCTGAAGCACCACGAGCAGAAGTACGTACGAAGGATAACAAGATAAATAAGTTACTCATAAATACACAGGTTACTTAAGAAAGTTGATTTCTTAAACGTATGTATCGCGAAGGTTAACTAACGTCTTCTAACAAACTTGCAGTGGAAGCAGGATGCCAGTTTACGTGAAATTAAAGTGATGAGGAGGTATCACTTGCAAGGCAGAGATGATTACAACAAATACAACAGACTTTGTGGTTCTATGAGGCAGATGGCTCACAGATTGAGTTTGCTATCAGCTCAGGATCCATACAGACACCAAATGGAAACCCAATTGTTAGCGAAAGGATATGAGATGGGACTATTGAATATAGGATCAAAATTGAGTGATGTAGAGAAGATCACAGTCGCTAGTTTCTGTAGAAGAAGATTGGCAGTTGTATGCGTCAGAAATAAGCTTTGTGAGAGCGTTAAGACGGTATGAAGGTATTATAATGCCGGAGCTTCGATCTAATATACATACAGGCTACTCAATATATTGAACAGGGCCATTTACGCGTTGGTCCGGATACTATCACTGATCCAGCATTCTTAGTAACAAGGTAAGGGGAGTACTCTAAGGAAATTCAATAGTCTAACGTATATAGAAATATGGAAGATTTCGTTACCTGGGTAGACACATCTAAGATCAAGAGAACTGTCATGAATTACAATGATGAGGTCGGTGGCAATACGATATTCACTATTTTAGCTAACAAAACACTCAGCTTGATGACTTTGATCTCCTTTGATTGTATAGACACTGTAATTTTTTAATTTATTCTCTCATTCTTTAGATATCTTCCTTTGTTCAGATATAGTCACCATCTCATGGTTCGCAGAAGTACCCGCTCTGCGACAGCCAAACCAGTAACTCCTATTGTTATCACTGACGATGACGACGATACCAATTCTTTAGAACAATCACTCGCTGTCGAGCAGGTTGAAGATGCTTTGAGAGTGCAGAACCAGGAAGAAGTCACAGATGATGATCAATTCGAATACAGCGATAAATACGAGCAGCAGGATGAAGACGAATTCAAAGAAGATGATTATGATGATGTCGATATCGACGCCGTCAACATATTGCAATCTTCTGATGGCGAGGAAGAAGCTATTGCAAAGAAGCAGAAGTCCAATAAAGGGAAAAGTAAAGCTACAGCATCTAAACGTACAAGTACTCAGACGATTGACGTATGTGCTCATATAGAAGTGATAAGACTCCACTGACGCATACAACAGATCAGCTCAGACGGTGAAAGTATTAGTTACAACAACCAATTCAATTTACCCGATGGTGATGATGATGTTGAGATTATCGATTACGCTAACGCTAATGGCGTTAAAGTAGAAGAGAAGATAAAGATCCTCAAAGATAAAGACGAATTGACTGAGGAGGAGAAAACAGCACAGTTGGCTGAGAAGAAGCGTATTCAAGCTCTTAAGCGCAAGAGGGATGCAAAAGAGATGTCTGAGAGAGCCAAATTAAAGAAGCAACTTGGTCGAAATCTTACTCAAGGTGAAAGGTGAGCACAACTGATTGTTTGACTTTGTATGCTCATCGCTCTTAGAAACCAAGTTGCTCTTGCTTGCTGGCATCCAGAGCTCAGTGATGTCTGGGGGGATCTCTCACGAGACATTGAACCAGTCAAACCACATAAGCTTCCATCACCACATGGCCTCAAACTCAAGCTGCTTCCCTTCCAACAAGAATCGTTGCATTGGATGAAAGAACAAGAGAAAGGTACTTGGAAAGGCGGTATGCTTGCAGACGAAATGGGTATGGGTAAGACTATTCAAACAATCGCACTACTTTTGAGCGATCGCAAGGCGCCCAACTTGATCGTTGCTCCAACAATTGCTGTTGTCCAATGGAAAAACGAAATCGAAGCTTTCACTGATGGCATGAAAGTTCTTCTGTGGCATGGTGCTTCCAGAACAAAACATAAAGATGATCTCAAGAAGTACGACGTAGTTCTCACCTCATATGCTGTTATGGAATCTGCATTTCGAATTCAAACTTACGGTAGGCAAAAGAAGGGTCAGAAAATCAAGGAACCAAGTCCTATACACTCACTGAAATGGCACAGAATCATACTCGATGAAGCACACTCCATCAAGGAACGACAGACAAATACAGCTAAAGCTACTTTCGCTTTAGAGAGCAACTTCAAATGGTGTCTTTCTGGTACACCCCTACAGAATCGTGTTGGTGAACTATACTCACTTGTTAGATTCATTGGCGCTGATCCATTTGCGTATTACTACGGAAAGAAATCGAAGTGCAAATCGTTAAATTGGAGTTTTTCAGATAGGCGCCATTGTGATTTCTGCGGAGAGTCTCCAATGAATCACGTCTGTTTTTGGAACAATGAGATTCTCACTCCTATCCAGAGATATGGTATGGTCGGAGAAGGCAAAACGGCTTTCAAGAAACTCAAGATTCTTTTGGACAGAATGATGTTACGTCGTACAAAAGTTGAACGAGCTGATGATTTAGGCTTACCACCACGTATTGTCAAATGTCGTAAAGATTTCTTCTCAGAGGAAGAACGTGATCTGTACCTCTCACTCTACACAGATGTTCGCCGTACCTTCACAACATATATTGATCAGGGAACTGTTCTTAACAATTATTCGTCAATTTTCTCACTTATCACTCGAATGCGCCAAATGGCATGCCACCCAGATCTCGTTCTTAAAAGTCGTACAGGTCCGTACGGTCAAGAAGCACCAGATGAACACGTTTGTAGAATCTGCAATGATATAGCAGAAGATGCAATTGATGCGCGTTGTCATCACGTATTCTGTCGTCTTTGCATTACTGAATATTTGACAGGCAGTCTTGTTTCACAACCAGAATGCCCTTCTTGCCATTTACCAATTTCGATTGATATCAACCAACCATCAATTGAGACTGCAGAAGATGAAGGTCTCAAGACAAGCAAGCCACAGGGTATCATTGGACGTCTTGATATGGACAAATGGAAGTCGTCAACTAAAATTGAAGCCTTAGTTGAGGAATTGACTGAGCTGCAAAGAGAAGATTGCACTGTTAAGTCTCTGGTTTTTAGTCAATTTGTTAACTTTCTCGATTTGGTTGCATGGAGACTCAAAAAGGCTGGTTTCAACGTAAGTGATAGCTTTTTATACCTATAGTTTTTAACAATCGCTCTAGATTTGTAGACTTGAGGGTAACATGACACCGCAAGCGAGAAACGCTGTTGTACAGCATTTTATGAAGAACGTACACTGTACAGTTTTCTTGGTATCACTTAAAGCAGGTGGTGTTGCACTCAATTTGACAGAAGCTTCAAGAGTATACATGATGGACTCATGGTGGAATCCATCGGTTGAGTATCAAGCAATGGACAGAGTACATAGGTTGGGTGCACGTCGTCCAGTTGAATGTATAAAGCTTGTGGTTGAAGATTCAATTGAAAGTCGTATTGTCCAGCTCCAAGAGAAGAAATCGGCTATGGTTGAAGCTGCCATTGGTCGTGATGAAAATGCAATGGGTAGACTTTCACCAGAAGACATGAGCTTCCTTTTCAAAATGTAAAATTACTACCAAGTAAAGCAAAAGCATCGCATTATTTATATCCCAAATTGTTTTTAAGCATATTTTTTCGATCACTCTAAATAGATTTTTATCGTCTATAAATTAGTTATATGATAAATAAATTAAAGATACATTCTAACGTTTCCTTTTGTTTGGTTTTGGTTGTTTCATATCATAACCAGACAATGAAGTTTGGAATTCACTAGTGTCATTGTTTGCGAATTCACCATCACGCTTGGTAGATTTACCAATCCTTCTAACAGATTCTTGCATTTTCTGTTCAATGCTTTGATGCTTTTGATTATCCTTTGATTGTGCAATATCAGCTTTGGTCGTACTAGCAGTTGTTGGAGTTTCACGTAAAGCAAATGCTTTTGCTAAGTGACCAAGATGAAGTAACTTTATATGGAAGAATTTACGCTCCTCTATTGGATGTGTAGCGTAAGCTCTAATATGAGATAAATATGCTTGTCTGGCTAATTGAGAATTATCAGGTGATGCAATAACCCATCTTTCTAATGAAGTTTGTACATCTGTTGCTCTGCTTTCAAATTCTGTACCTTGACCACCATAACCACGCTTAAGAACATTCTCAACAGAAACTGGATGTAACTTGATTGACTTAGTATCAGAATCTAATTGAGATGTTAACCAATCAACCCAACCATGTTCAGACGGTGCAACAAATGACCATGCTTCACCACCTTTACCAGCTCTAGCAGTTCTACCGACCCTATGTACGTATTCATTTGCACCACCTTCAGTTGGGAGGTCAACTTGTATAACTGCTCGAACAAGTGGCATATCTAAACCTCTAGAAGCGACTGATGTACAAAACATTATCGCAGGTTCTGTTGTTTTCTTATCAGTAAATTCCCTAACTGTTGATAAACGATTTTGTAGCGACATTGATCCGTGTAATCTGTATATCTTCGTATTCGGTAATACAGGACATGTTACACTTAATTTATCATCTACGTTACGGTTACCAGCATCTGTCATTGATACACCACCAAATAATTGGAAATGTAAATCAACAGAATCTGTACAACTGAAGAAGACGATTATACGATTCCCTTGAACATTTTCTTTTGATGTTGCTAATGATCTTAACAAGGCTAACAAGCTGACAAGACGAAGTTTGAGTGGTACTTGTACATATTTCTGTGATAATTGTGCAGGTGGTGTAAATTTTGTTGATTCTTCAGCAGCATTGGTATCTACATCTTTCTTTATATCGCTTTCCTTTAATACGATAGGGTTAAGAAGTTGTTGACTTGCGAATGATTGTATATCTTCTCGAATGGTAGCTGAACAAAGAATATTTCGCCGTCTGACGTCAAAATCCCATCCACCAACCTCTGATAGACTACCCTCATCGATTGCTTTCTTCGTGAGTTTACGTCTACCTTCAAGACCTTTGATGATACCAGTGATTGTTTCTTCGAAACCAAGATCCATCAATCTATCAGCTTCATCTAGAACAAGCCAGCGACATTTAGATGCGTTGAATGATGTTGTGTTTTGCAAATGATCGAGTAGTCTACCAGGGGTGGAGACCAAAATTGGACATCCCTTTCTCAATCTTGCTTTCTCGTGAGTACGAGTTGAACCACCAGTGAGAAGCCCGCCTACCAGCCAACGGGTAAGACGTTTTTGATCCTCCTCTGGTACGCCCTTCAAAGTCAAACTCAAATGGAGAAGGTTTTCAAGGACGTCAAAAATCTGCCTGGCTAATTCACGTGTAGGAGCAAGGATAATCGCGAGAGTACCAATACTTCTATCAATGAATGAAAGCTCTCCTAGTGGTAATAAATCTTGTATAATTGGTAAGAGGTATGTCAAGGTTTTACCAGAACCAGTTTGTGACTGTATGAAAACATCGCGAGAAGACAACACACTGTCCTTTTCTGTAGGTTGAAGGAGAGTTGGTAAGGCTAATTTCTGAATTGGCGTAGGTGCTTTAATATCCAATTTATCACGAAGGTGCTGTATGAGGAGTGGATGGAGCTTGGCACCCTCAAATGAGCTCGTAGAAGCTAATGGAGCATTAGAAGGTGCCTGTTGTGGTTGTTTTGGCCCCTTATCCTCCTTAATTTCTTCTATTTCTGGATTGAATGTGAACAGAGAAGATACGACGTGCTTCTTTTGATTATTCTGAGTATTTTGGGTAGCTTGATTATCGATAGCATTCTGACTGTCAGTTGGTGTGCTTTTCGCTTTCTTCGCTGGTGGATTTACTGGGTGCTGCTCTTCCTGCTGTGGGGATGGTTCACTCTTTTGCTTCTTGTTATTAAAGCGTTGTGAACGTTTAGCATTTTGCTTTGCTGATGCCCTGTCTTTGTGTAAGTGTCGATCTGATGGAATATCTTACAAACCTATCAGTCCATCTACCGCCTTTTTTGCTGCGATCTTGACGACTTCCGCCGCTAGTGAAGTTGATGACTATATCGTCATCCACTTTGGTTTATTAGTCAGTGTTTATATACGTAGCTTAGCTACTTACTTTCTGTCCGAGATGGTTGTTGCAAGAGAAGGAAACTGATAGCGTTGATTTATTCATAGAATGATGAAAGTTTCTAAGTATTATAATCTATTATATGCATTTAATTAGCTCACTTGAAGGTTGTTCACGTTAGAAATCACATAAACGTATGACGAGAAAGCTAGACTGTAAGAGATACAGAAGACGGAAATAATAGAGAACACGGCTCTGTTCTGTCACCAGTACATTAGCTTCCCTCAGGATTTGACAGACAATTCCAATGTTTTTGCTTTATAATGACGATGTGAGCGGATGGCATTGATGCCTCTGCCGTATATCTATTGCAAGGTTTGTACCTCTAGATTGCATCTTATATCTCCTCCGTTTATTTCCCGCAAATTTTCCACCTGTATGTAGACTGAATGAGGTAGCAAACGTATGCAGTTTAGCGAGCATTAAGTAAAATGATCTAGAGCTGAATTATCATGATATTGTAGATTTATGCGTTCGTATGTTGATCTCTTGGCTGATCTGCACATAACAACCTGTAAGACAATAGCACATAATTATTCCGACATTACACCCTATTATGTGGCGGCTAATAAGCATACAACGTCCTTTCAAAGCTTGTATATGCCATGTATGTAGATGTAGTGTGTATTTCAAATTACCGATGTGGTTGTTCTACAGATCGTAACATACTGATTAGATTTTACACTCTCTTTAAATGTGACTAAAGTTGAGCTGGTCATAAACTTTAGCTTTACATCTTCCTATACTACAACCCAAGATCGAGATCACAAAAACATCCTAGTCTAGAAAACATTATGCAAATTGTAAATTTTATCAAACTGCGTACATGCAAACATTAATGTCATTAAGTCATTTAAGCGAGACCCTTCTTCTTGAGAACAGCTTCGTCTTCTTTTCCAAGATTTTCATCAACCTTTGCGCCTCTAGATGGTTCATTACCGTGAAATACGGCTGGTGCAGTTGGTGGTGGACCAGCTTCTTTCTCCTTCTTATGCTCTTCCTTTTCCAAGTGTGAAGCAGCTTTCAACTTCTCGTTAAGTGAGCGCTGGTCGTTTGAGTCGAGCGTTGAGTGGGAGTTTACTTGTCCAGTTTCATACTCTTTGCCTGGTTGTCTGTGTGAGTGATCTGGGAGTTGGTTGTCTGTCTTTCCCCATTGTTGGTCAACCTGGATTTTGTGTCAGTCGATCATTCTGTGATCCCTTTGTTTGATCAAACAAAGAGTTAACTATGTCCACTTACTTTACTGATTCCGCCTGTCATATTTATTGGTGTTGTAGTTAAGGAAGAAAGAATTTGAGATAGCTCAGACTATTTAACCAACCACTCCAATGGGATTCTATGATGCAATGCTTATGAACAACATCTATGATGCATTTGTGGATTTCTCACTGATGAAAGCTGAAGCTTCTAGAAAAAACACTCTGTAGTGTACTTTTTCTCTCATTTCTGTCGTCTAAGTTGTACTTCAACTACATGACATAACTATGTCTAACAATTGTTTCCCTGAAAAAACACAATATAAAAGACGAAGTCTAAACTACTGATTTTAAACATTCCTTAATATTGTTATTTTTCTTTCGAAGCGTCTGGATTGTGAAGATTGACGAACCATTCCTTTGATTGCGTACCTCATTATCAAAGACATAAATGACGCCTGATAAGCGATCTAGGAAATCAGATAGGTGAGTCTGATTTCATAGCTATCCTTGTAGTCGTTTCTTAACGTAGTCTTAAGATTCATACCCTCCCGTACACCTCTTAGTAAAGTGTCCTACAATCTCGATAAAGCAGGACTTAGCGATGAAAAGAGCAGTAAACCATTGTCAGAGGATTTTTTTAACACGCTGGGCCAGGAAACGTTAGCAGCGCCCACCCCTATTGAAACAACAACTGATGCCGCGAACGAAGATGAGAGACGTATCTTTGGAGAAATGCTACGTAACGAATTATTACATGACGAGAATGAGAATGAAGATAATAGACAGAAAAGGAGGAGGAAGTCTTTGAGCATGCACACGACACCACCCCGAACAAAAGTTTTGCAGTTCATGCCAGCTACTAGCAAACTCCAGGAGAGGGAAATACGACGTAAAGAACTAGATAATGCCTCGCATGCTTATTATCACCATTCGCCTCTTAGAACAACTACTCAGGGTATGCTACAGACAAGGTCTCTGCGACGAGTGAGCCATACGCCCAAGACAGTCCTGGACGCTCCATACATGGCTGATGACCAGTACTGTAACCTCATGAGCTGGTCCTGTGAAGATGTTCTCGCTGTTGCACTCCAGTCACATATCTATACATGGCGATCATCACACGTCTCTATGCTTTGCGATGTACAGGAGACAAGCAGTGCACTCCGTGTCGCTTCACTTGCCTGGGATCCCACCGGGAAAATACTCGCTGTTGGTCTCGATGACGGCACGACCCAGCTCTGGGATGTCCAACAGCGCCAGTGTATAGGTCAAGTCTGCAAACAGAGCGCAAAAGTTGGCGTTATCAACTGGTCCTCAGGTGTACTAGCATGTGGATCGCGCGATGGGAGCATATTTGTGAAAGACACCCGCATGGCAAACACAAACTTACGTTTGAGGCTTCACAAGGGGGAAATAACGAGTTTAACCTATAGCGCAGCCACCGAAGCGCTAGCAAGTGGAGGTAATGACAACAAGCTTTATCTCTGGGATATTCGCAGTCGCGGGCGACTGCTTAAGAGCTACACAGATCACGAGGGTGCTGTCACAGCACTGAGCTTTAACCCTCACCATCGTGGTGTGCTCGCTTCTGGAGGTGGAACTTACGATAGAAGGATTGTATTTAGAGACACCATACATCAAGGCAGGAAGACTCTTGGTGACTACGATACAGGCTCACAGGTCTGTAATCTCTATTTTTCTACAAATACCCAAGAGTTACTCTCTACGCACGGTTTTAGTCAATATAGTCGCGGGAATCTTGTTTGTCTTTGGCAATACCCGTCTATGAAGCAAATTGCATCGATAAGAAGCCATTTAGGACGCCCAATATACATGGGTGTGTCTTCTGATGGCACGACTGTTGCTACTGGAAGTGGTGACGAGACTATACGCTTCTGGAAGCTTTTTCCACCACGACAAGAGAACAAACCAGAATCAGTCTTCAATCTTACTAAATATATACGCTGAGCGTATAGTCCATATATCTGCATCTGAACCTTGTATAATCAGCAAACATTCATATACTTGTATACATCGATAAACTAGTATCTAGTGGTGTGCATATATAAAGCATAATTTATGCATTTACTCTACTCTTTCATATCGCCTTTTTGCACCCACAAGGTTTGACCAAAATAGCTATCTCATCGTAAAGTAAAGATATAGAAAAATTACTGATTTATTCATATTATCCGAAATTTTTTAATTATGAATCATGTCTTTATTTATCCTTAATAAGCCAATTTAGTTTGATTTTTTATTTTGGTATATAAGAAATTCTACGATTTTACTCCTCTCTTTTTGACAGCGATCAGTGAGTGTTTAGAGGACACTGCTGCTGGTTGGTTAAATAAATAAAATATAATGAGTCTGCAATTACCACAAGCTGGCAATAAGCCAAACTCAATGCCACCACCATCTGGGCCACTTCAACGGCCACAGCCACAAGCAGCCCCTACACCACAACCGTTCGCAGTACCACCAACACCACAGGCTGTTCAGACTCCTAGTCACACTGATACGGGCTTCACCCACTCAGCTGGAATTGTACCGACACTACAAAACATTGTGGCAACAGTTAATCTTGATTGTAGATTAGATTTGAAGACAATAGCACTACACGCCCGTAACGCAGAATACAACCCTAAGAGATTTGCGGCAGTCATTATGAGAATTAGGGATCCAAAAACGACGGCACTTATTTTCGCATCAGGAAAGATGGTTGTAACTGGTGCCAAATCTGAGGATGATTCTAAGTTAGCTTCTAGAAAGTATGCACGTATTATCCAAAAGCTTGGATTTGATGCTAAGTTCTCAGAATTTAAGATACAAGTGAGTTTTATTGAGTGCCCTTTTATGATATCAGAATTGACACATTTCCGTTAAGAACATCGTTGGTAGTTGCGATGTTAAATTCCCAATTAGATTGGAAGGTCTTGCATACACCCACGGTCATTTCAGTTCATACGAACCTGAGTTATTCCCCGGTTTAATCTACAGAATGGTTAAACCCAAAGTTGTCTTATTGATTTTCGTATCAGGTAAGATTGTATTAACAGGTGCGAAAGTCAGAGAAGAGATTTATACGGCGTTTAACAATATTTATGCTACTCTACTTGATTATCGTAAACAATAAATGTATTTTTAACAACAGCAGAGATAGGCATATTAGTCTTACTCTTATTTTTCACCCTCTTCACTCATTAAAGAGATGTACATAATATGAATATATAAAGATTAAAACATATAAGAAAACTACTAAATGCACTCTAAACCTTGGTTTTACCTGCACCACCAAGCTTAGCTTTTTCAAGTGAAGCCTCTGATTTCTTTTGAAGCATAGACTTGTATTGTTGAATGTTGACATCTGACTTTGTAAGGTTGTAAATCTTACGGTCCTTAACTTCCCACAATTCCTCTGCGACTTGAGAGATCAATCTGAAATCGTGAGAGACAATTACAACACCACCTTCGAATTCCTTTACTGCAAGGGCAAGAGCATCAATAGATTCCATATCTAAGTGGTTAGTTGGTTCATCCAACAAGAGAATGTGTGGTTGATCCATAGCTAACATAGAGAAAACAACACGGTTTCTTAAACCGTCTGATAAGTGTGAGATTGGTGAAGTTTGGTGAGCACCTGAGATACCGAATCTACCAAGTTGTGAACGCCAGAATTGAACATCTTTGTTAGGGAATTTCTCTTTGTAAGATGATTCTAAGTGTTCAATTGGGTTCTTATCGTATGGAAGTTGGTCTGCAGAGTGTTGAGAGTATTTACCAAGTTTCAAACCAGCGTGTTTTGAAACTGAACCTTCAACTGATTGAAGAACACCAGTAATCAAGTTGAGAAGTGTCGATTTACCAGTACCATTTTGACCAACGATAGCAATACGTGAGTCCATATCAATACCGAATGAGAGATCCTTGTAAAGGTAATCCTCTGGTTTTCCAGAGTATGAGAAAGCGACGTCGTTGAATGCAATAATTGGTGGTGGTAACTTTCTAATGTCTTCGAAGTTGAATCTCAATGGTCTTGGTTTTTCAACTGGTTCAATCAAACCAGCTGCCTCCATCTTGTCGATAATCTTTTGCTTAGACTTTGCTTGCTTGACTAAGTTAGCGTAAGTACCAGCAGATGCAATGAACTTCTTGATGTGTTGGATTTCTTCTTGTTGCTTAGCGTAAGCCTTCATTTGGTTTGTCTCGTTTTCAGATTTGGTACGGCAGTAGATAGAGTAGTTACCACCATAGTATTGAAGTTTACGCTTGTTGGTCAAGTCCATGATGTTGGTACAGACACTGTCCATGAAATCAGCAGAGTGGGAAGTGATAACAAGGATGTGGTTGTAAGTAGAAAGGTAAGCTTCAAGCCAGACGACGGCTTCCAAATCCAAGTGGTTAGTTGGCTCGTCAAGGAGCAACAAGTGAGGCTTAATGAAGAGAGCACGAGCAAGAGTGACACGCATTCTCCAACCACCAGACATGTCCTTAGTTGGCTTGGCCATCATAGCTTGTGAGAAACCTAAACCGTTAAGAATCAAACCAGCTCTTGCTTCGAAAGTTGAAGGGTCGAGTTCTTCAAGTTCCTCCATCTTGCTCTCTAAAGCAAGCTCATCGATGTCATCAGCGGTTGACATATCTTCGATTTGTTGTTCGAGACGAATGACCTTCTCCTTTGCGGATGCGATAATGAAGTCCATAGCATTAACTTCGGATGGCTCAGCTTCACCTGCGACCAAGTGAATATCAATGTGCTCTGGGATTTCGATATCACGGTCTGCCAAAGCTTGGAGGAAGGTAGTTTTACCAGAACCGTTCTCACCAAGTAAACCGTAACGTTGACCATAGTTAAGGGAAACTTCAGCAGATTCAATAAGAAGACGTCCGTGGAATGAGAGGGTGAAACCATCGAGCTTGACATCACGTCCCTTTGGATCGGAAACGAGAACACCAGCGGTGGATCTAATAGAGTTATGAGTGACTGATAACCTAAGTTGTAGAGAAGACAAACCTGTCAGTAGCCACTGAAAGCTTCTTCATTTCGCTACCATCAGTGATTCCAGTTGACTCGCTAGCTGGCTTTGAGGACTTTGTTGTTGATTTTCCTTTGGCAGCAGCTTTTGCTTCCTTGTCTTGGAGTCTCTTAGCCTTTGATGCTGAGAGTGGTGCCATTTTTTTATCTATAGAGTGGCCTACTGAGAGAAGGATAGAAGAATTTCAGATGCTCCTCAGTCAAAGTAAAATTGAAGCGAATGACATAAGGTGATTTTATAATATAATTATAAACTATTTAATTTATCTTATACACTATAATAATATTCGTTTCGCCACTATATGATGCTTCTCAGCCAAGAATGTGTAGCTTTGGCATGCGGACTTCCTTATCTAGAATGTCCGGATGGTTTTGTTTCTTAGAAACACAATATGAGGCTAGTACGTCTAGCAATTCTCTTCGCTTTCCTCGCCTTCGTTACTGCCGCAGTTCTCAGACGACAAGAAGAACTTCAGAAGGTAACAGACGCTGAGATCTCAGATAGGTACATCCCAGCTGCAATCATATCAGGAGCTGCCGCATGTGGTAATAGAGCAGTAGAGGCGTTTGATTGTGGTCCAGCCTGTGATAGTCTCAAAGAAGCAAATGCAGAGGTACTATACTCAGATGGAGATGGCGCAAACGATCCCTACGTATATCTTCTTCATATGCCGGAAGATGAGGCCTTAGTTATCGCCCACTCACCTACGAACTTCTCTAGTTTCCTCAGTGTGCTCATCGACGCTGATTTCCTGCTTTCACCAATTGAAGAAGGTATATTAGGCGAAATAGACACTGAGTTATCATCTAAAGTTAGCGTACATTCTGGATTTTTGCGTTCTGTTAGTAAAACCCTTGAGGAACTCAAGAAGAGGCTGATCGAAGCGATGGATAGACTGGGGGACAGTATAAAAGTGATTAGATTTGAGGGACATTCCATGGGTGCCGCAAGCGCGTCTATCGAGGCTGTCCTCCTGAGTAACATTGTTTATAAGAGAGGATATGACCTTCAATTGACCACTTTTGGTAGTCCTAGGGTTGGCGACGAATCGTTTGTCAACCTACTAGAGAGTGTCATCCCAGAGGGAAAGAGAGCACGTATTACAAACCAAAATGACAAAGTCCCGCATCTCCCAGGATTCCCATATAAGCACTACTCAGGCGAAGTCTACATACCAAAAGATGACGAGAAGGATATACCACTACCTGCAGCTCATTGTGTTGGACGCGAAGATGAGAGATGTGCTGATAAATTCAATTTCTTCCAGCGCTCAAAGGACGCTCATGAAGGGTTAGTATCGTTTATAACTGATTATGACTTTTCACACCCACTACAGTCCCTACTTTGGTCAAGTATTAGGTAGAACAGTTTGCACTAACCCAGATGCTTACCCACCGAAGTAAAAAGTGGAATCAATTCATTAATTAATTACATGATTACAAAATTACACTGTAATACCGCCCATAGCTATCAACTTAGTTGTTAAGTATTCTTCAATACCTTGTTTACCGCCTTCTCTACCAAATCCTGACATCTTCTGACCACCGAATGGAATGCATGCTTGTGAGAGAATTGGTGCATTTGTGCCTACCATACCAACTTCAAGACCTTCAGAGACACGCCATACGCGACCAATATCACGTGAGTATAGGTATCCAGCCAAACCGACATCGACATTGTTGGCAAGTGCAATGACTTGCTCTTCTGTGTCGAATTTGGTGAGTGCCGCAAGAGGACCAAATGTTTCGTCACAATTTACAAGTGCGTCTTCTGGGACATTTGCTAAAACTGTTGGTGCAAAGTAGTTACCACCAACTCTCTTGCCACCACTGAGTACCTCTGCACCGCGCTTGACAGCATCATCGACATGTTGCTCGACTTTCTCGAGAGCTCTTTCGGCGATTAGAGGACCATGAGTGGTGCCCTCGTCAAGACCATAACCGAGTTTGAAAGCGTCGACTTTCTGTGCAAGTTTTGATGCAAATTCTGCGTATACTGATGATTGTACATATATTCTGTTGGCGCATACGCAAGTTTGACCTGAAGATCTAAACTTGCAGGCGATAGCACCTGCTACAGCAGCGTCTACATCCGCGTCATCGAAAACGATAAATGGTGCATTACCGCCAAGTTCGAATGAAAGCTTCTTGAGCGTTTGGCTAGATTGTTGCATGAGGAGTTGACCAATACGTGTTGACCCAGTGAAGGAAACCTTCTTGATCGCTGGATTCTCACAGACTTCCTTTCCAACTTCTGCGACATTCTTGTCTGTTGTTACGACGTTAACGACACCTGCCGGTACGCCTGCTTCCTTGCAGAGGTGTGCTACCGCAAGAGCAGAGTATGGTGTTTCGGCTGGTGTTTTGATGACGGTTGTGCATCCGGCAGCGATTGCTGGAGCAAGTTTTCTGGTTATCATAGCGATAGGGAAGTTCCAAGGCGTTAATATGCCACAAACTCCAATTGGCTGCTTAATAACGATATTTCTAAGGTCTGGGTTGGCGGCTGGGACGACGTCACCGTACGTTCTGACGGCTTCACCTGCGAACCATTCGAAGAAGCTGTTTCCGTATACAACTTCTCCCTGTATGTTATTAGATGAATGTATATTAGTTAGCAGACAAATACGTACCTTAGCATCGGCGAGTGGCTTACCATTTTCTACTGTAACAATCTTGGCCAGATCATCGGCATTCTCATTGATAAGAGCAAAGACCTTGTTAAGTAGATCTTGTCTCGATTTCGCTGTCGTCTTTGAGAATGTTTTAAACGCCTCGCTGGCGGCATCGACGGCTCTACGTGTTTCTGAGACGCCCATTTCTGGAACGTGGCCTAATAAATTACCGTTGCCGGGATCAGTAACTGGAAATGTGCTGCCTGAATCGCTCTCAACCCATTCATTATTTATGAATCCTTTAGATTTCCACAAGTTGGTGTTGTTCAATTCCTAGTCTTACGTCAGAATACTCTCAAGAACAAAATAGCGACAAACTGGAGTTTTTGCTATTGTGCTCATTAGACGGGTTTTGACTGTCAATGGATAGAAAAGACTTCTTGACGAGCTGCTGAGTTTACCGAGCATCGCTTAATTTGAAGATGATAGAGCATTTTAACGAGGAAATTGGCGAATCAGATGGTCTGTTGGAGTAGCTGACATACTACAACATGCATAATTAATAATTTCTACAAAGTAATGTGTATATCAGCGACAATGTGGGCAAGGTAATATAACTTCGTGTAACTACTCGTGACCATTGATGAGGGTGTCTAAAACCACCGCTACGTACCTATCACCCCATATATTTACTGTTTATTAGTATACTTCTGCTTGTTCTCTTAGTTTACCTTCCTGTGTACTTTAGTTCATGTCTTTCTCAGTATGACGGCATAACGGCAGTATCATTGTGTATTTAATGTTTGATGGATGTAAAATTAATGTCGCTAGGAAACACTTATCTTCTTTTTATCACACCCTCACATCGTCGTTACTCTTCTGTACGACCTTCCGGAATAAAATCGGCGAAAGGAAACAAACATAAAAGTAACCTAATTAGTTTAATAAAGCTTAATTTATCGATAGCACCATCAAATTCCGATTTTAGTGACTGTCTTCAATTTACTTCCACGTTAATTATGTCTCTACTTCCTAAAATGGAAGCATGTCTCAAATAAAATATTCCATCTGTCTTATTCGCCGATACAACTAAATTAATTCTGAAATGTATAAATACCGCTGCACTTCCTTTAACTTTCCTCATCAACTCAACTAGTTCAAGTCTTCTAAACAATGCAATTCTCAACCATCGCTCTCACCGCTACTGCATTCTTCTCAGCATCACTCGCTGCTAAGCTCGAAATGAGAGCTGGCGACTGTTCAACTGAGAACGTCAAGTGTTGTGACCAAGTCAAGGACGCCTCAAGTGTCGACACCGCAACACTCGAATTGCTCGGTATTGATGAACTCGCTGGTCAAGTCGGTCTTGAATGTACTCAAATCGCTGCTCTCGTTGGTGTTCCAATCCAAGACCAATGTAAGACCACCGCTGCTTGTTGCGACGTAAGTTGAAAAATTTCGTTTTGGAACCTACTCTAACATTACTACAGCAAACTACTCAAAACGGTTTGGCTAACTTGAACTGTGTCCCAATTTCAGTTATTTAAGGATAGTTTTATGCTTAAAAAACACCTCTATTGTACTTAATTTAAAAGAGTGATATAATACGGACACTATAAATTTTCTAAAATAATTTCGTGCTCATGAGTGCTAGCAATCGCTATAATAAAATTTGTTCATATTGTCTTCCGGAAAAATAACTTCGTATCCCAACATGAAACCCGTAATATGCCGATAGCCTTAATAGGTCATGTTAATTGACTCTGTAATATTAACTTAAAATAACGTCTATATGAAATTGTCGCAATTTGATCAAGTTTTACATTTCGTTAATAGACTGGCATCTCCAGAGACAGACACATCCAGACCGCACTATGTGTGATATCTAGTATAATAAATAAATATGACAATCCTGACAGAAGTATTATACTGTTTATATAAGCCCTGAAAGTACGAAAGGGATTTCAGTACTCCTTCGTTATGAGGCTGAGGAGACGTCGTAACCTAAGACCCAACCTCCATTTTTGGCGCGAGAGCTCTCATCGCTTGGCGTATTATTACGGTTGAGTGATAATCTGCGGATATGCTGTTTAATATCCATTTCCCGCTCGATATCAAATGTCGCAACCTAAGACCCAACCTCCATTTTTGGCGCGAGAGCTCTCATCGCTTGGCATATTATTACGGTTGAGTGATAATCTGCGGATATGCTGTTTAATATCCATTTCCCGCTCGAT